CCATGGGACGCAGATGATATTCGTATTGCCGTGGGTAGGCAAAAGAATGGCCGCGCTCCAGGACTTGATGCTATAGATGCAGCGATCCTAAAGAACAGTATCCCCTATATTGAAGAGCGACTTTTAGGAATCTTTAATGATTGTTTAGATAGGGGATACTTCCCAAGGAAATGGAAGATCGCTGATTTGAGACTCCTCTACAAGGGAGGAGGCAGGGATAAACAACTTCCTAAGTCATATAGACCAATTTTTCTCCTCCCTGTGATGAGTAAGTTCCTGGAGAAGCTCATGATGACCAGGTTACGGCAGTTCTTAATCAAGCAAGCCATCCACGGCAATACGGCTCTACCAGAGGCAGAGGAACCGCTGATGCTCTGCTGAGAGTTCGCAGAGATGTTGAAGAAAGGGCGGAGCGATACGTCATGCTGCTCCTTTTTGATATATCCTCCGCCTTTGATAGTTTATGGTAGCCCTGCGTACTCCAGCAGCTGCAAAAATATGATGCTCCCAGCAACCTATATGCCCTCGTAAGCAGCTATCTTCAGGACAGGCGAGTGAAGATCAAAGGCATCTATTACGAGGTAGAAGCTTCCGTAGATTCAGGGATCAGTACTTGGTCCTGCTGTATGGAAGCTGGTTTTTGATGAGTTGCTGGGAGTGCTTGAAAATGAGCGGTTCCCTGCCACTGCCTATGTTGCCGATCTAGCTGCTGTGGTGGCATCCAACAGCAGGGCGGGGATCAAAGTAGACGCAGAGCGATGCGCCAACCTTGTAGCCAGATTGTGTGAGGGGAAGAAAATGCGTATGGATGCTGAAAAGCCGCAAGCCATCCTCTTAAAAGGCACGAGTGATACAGCACACCCCATCAGCATGGATATAGAGGGTCAAATAATAGCCCAAGTGAGGTGGTAACATACCTTGATGTAAGGTCAGGAAAAGGCCTAAATATAACATCTCACTTGGATTATCTAGCAACTAAGGTGACCCAAGCCTTGAACGGACTCAGTCGTGTTGGGGGTGCATTCTGGGGCCTCAGATACCCTGCAACGATGACGATCTATAAAGGCGTTGTGCTGGGTATCTTGAGGTATGCATCTCCCTCCTGGTATAGGAACCTCACACAGCGACAGCGAAAAAGGTTGGCGTCGATCCAGAGGATGGCCCTGTTGCGTGTCACCAGAGCATTTAGGACAACGTCACATGAAGCAGTGCAGGTCCTAGCGGGGGCGGTACCTCTCGACCTCCTCCTGCGAGAAAACGTGACCTAGCATAAATTCAAGAAAGAAGGCTTGGCTGGAGTTCCAGAAAATTTACGGGTGAGGATTGTGGAAAGTCCCAACAAATGGAAGAAGGTAATCTGGGAGGATACGATTGAGGAATGGAGCCGTCGGTGGGTTGCTACGCCGAAAGGGAGTACTCTCAAATACTTCCCCCCGTACAGTCGCGGTTAGATACACAATGGATCCTCCCGGACTATTGGATTTCACAGTTCCTCACGGGGCATGGGAGTTTTCGAGCTAAGCTACATGGTTTTGGCCAGGACATAGATCCTCAATGCCCCACTTGTGGAGTTCTGGAGACTGTCGAGCACTTGGTCACGGCCTGCACTGCATTTGAAGGAATAAGGGCAACGATGATGAGAACCGCAGGAATTTACGTCCTAACAGAGGATGAACTTCCTCAGTTGGTAAGTAAGGACATTTATGACTGGAAGGAGGCAGTGGGTCCAGCCCACTTCAACATCGGAGCACGGAGAAGAGGACCACCACCAAGAAGACCGCCGGAGGACGGACACCCTTGGTAAGACGTCACCAAATTACACAAAGATAATATATTTGAAACTGTTTCACTTGCAGTAGTATGCTGTTATGCAGTCATGCATAACAGCCCACTATTGCAAACGCCCGTATGGCCCATCAGGCAAGGTAGGGTGGAATGTAAATAAATAAATAAATCTTCGTATAACCAAGTTTCAAACTTGATTTTCATATTTTTCTTTCATTACCACTGAATTAAAAAGAAAGATTAATAAAATAAAGTAAAGAATTAAAGTATACTCACGATTTTAAGTCTATGAAGATGAAACCAAACTTATCCTTTTAAACACTAATATGTATATCTATTAAATAAAAACTACCTATTAGTAAACTAAATCTGTTACTAAAACAACACAATTAAACTTTTAAACAAAATAGCACTAATAAAATAAGAGTCTGTGAACTATTCAATAAAAACTACCTATTGATAAACTAAATCTATCCCTAAAACAACAAAATTACACTTCTAAACTAAAATATTGCTAATAAAATAAGAAAATTGAAGAGTTTTGAGGTGGTTATAGAGCAAGCAGGTAGCAAGGGACGACCCAAGATGGCCAACCAATCAAAAAGTTGACACCATATGGCTGTACTGTAACAAGGCAGATACACTCCTGTCTGAAAGGAGTCTTTAGAGGAGAGTTCCGAAGAAGGAAGTCCAGTGGATAGGGCAGCCAGAGGTGCTTGTAAGAGAACTTGGAAGCCGAACCTAGCCAAGAAGATAAACTATGTCTGGATACCTCAGAAGGAATTGGATGCAGTCAAGAAGGTACAGGGAAAGGACATTAGTGGCACCAGAGATCAGAAATAAGTAGCTGAAGACTCCACCATGTTCAATAACTAACTAAGTGATACTATGAATTCAAAACCCATTCAAGGCAATAATAGTGATTAGTCAGGTCCACATCAATATTCTTCATATATATATCTATAATATTAAAACATAAATAGATTTCATTTTACTTCGAATTTGATTTTTAGCCTTTTTTTTGCATTCTTGCATTAAGATTTAATAACTAAGTTGGCAACACAATACCTTTGGAAAGGATATCTGATAGTAACAATAAATAAATCTAGAATATCACAGCAGGAGGATCAGTAGTATCTTGCCTTTTTTATTCATATTAAATAAATAAATAGCATATTTTTAAATATATCAGTTTCCTTTTGAATATATAGAAATATATATAGTATAAATATAATAAATACACATAAATGTTATCTATATGTTTCTGATAACCACACTCTTCATATAAAATTGGATATCCCGAGAAACATTGAATTTAAAATGGTATAATGATTCTAGGATAATTGTGAATAATTGTCCTATAATGATTATTGTCCAGGATAGGATACCATCAATCATGAATTTTAAAAGATTGACAAGTTGGATATTGTATTGTAGACCTTGGAGTACATCATGAACTTATATTATATATTATATAGGCGTTCCAAGGAGGGTTGCCTTTCCCGTCAGGGCATAGCTCCAGAGGTCGCGGTCAAGCCAATCTCCATCCTGAAGACTCCTCTTCCACTTAATGTCTCCATCTTTTCCTCGGTCACCCTCACCTCCGTCTTCCCTTCATGAACTTCAATTAAATTCTATTCATAAATTGATTAATATTTAATTCATAAACTTAAGTCAAATATAATAATTGCAATTTGAATTCACTTTTATTTTAAATAAAAATAAATATCAAATAAAATTGATATGTAATGTAACCTGATATTTTATTTACATTTCAAATTTTTAAACTGAATAATTTCAGATGCCAGACTTTCTTGACTTCATTGTGACATGGATGGCACTAAGCAACAGCTTTTGGAATCCTTTCTTGTATTGGTTGCTTAATAACAACTTTAGAAGAATTAGCAAAGAATTGTTCTTAACTAAGGTATTTAAAAACTTTTATTTTTAGATAAAAAATAGAAATATTCTTACATCAATTAAATATTTTTTTCTTCTTTTTTACTATGGAAAGGTGCTATGTCGAGGAAAGAAAAGTCCAACTCAGTGCTGTACAGTTCCAACACCTCTTAGCCGTGACTTAGAGGAGAAATACTGGGGAGAAATCTTAGAAAGAGCTGTTTCTACTTCAAGTCTTGGAAAATGTCCACCTCCTCCACCTCCTCCTCGAGCGAAATGAGCCAGGACCACCGTCGGGGTTCAGACCACACTCTGACTTATCCCCGAACGGTGTCATTCAAATTAATATAGTAAACACAAGCTCTGCAGAAAGAGTTCAAGTGAAAATATTCTTAACATCTCATATTTGTCATCTGACCATGGGAAAATAAATACAAAATTTTAAATGAATTGAAATATCAATAACTTGTGATTGTATTTCAGCCTTCTGACAAAATAAATAATGAAAAGTTTGCATGCTAGGAGTTAGATAAGCTTAATTCTTGTAATGTTTCCAAGTTATGACAAAATGATCCATACAGTACCTAAGTGTTTAAATTTTCAAAACTCAGAAAGTATGTTTTTCATGACTATTATTCTTTTTTTTAATCAGAATATTTCTTTATGATTTTCTTTGTAAATATCATTATTTTTTATCTTCAAATCAAAAGGGCTTATGCCTAAAATTGAAATTTTAAAAAACTGCACAACAAAAAAATATATCATTACTACGGATTGGTCCCTTGGCTTGTTATTAATTAAAAGCAATGCTAATTTAAATATATATTACATCTAAAATGTCTGCATGATTAAATTAGTATACAATTAAGAAGATAAAAACAATTTTGAATTGAAAAAAATACATCATTTTTACAAAATATGGTTTATTCAAAGACTTTTTCACACCACTGTACCTTAAAATCAAAATGACTCCATATTTTACAATCCAAAATGATATCTTTACTGAATCAAATACAGAGAAAAAAAACTTTTAAATGGTTGACTTTGAAAGGAAATAAAAGAAAATAATACATTCAAAAAACAATATTCTGTATTAATAATTTACTATTCCAGCAGACAAATAATCATGCTGTATGTTCTAATGTTCTATATACTTTGTGAAATTTATAATTTATATATATTCAATAAAGCATTTCTCATTCATTCAAATAATTTATCATATTACTTATCTAAAACTAACTAATCATATATAGAAGCAGATGAGAATAGAAATATTCCATAATGCTAAAAGCAGATACTGAAACAAAATATGTATTAACTTTTAACTTCTGTCAAAAAGTAATGAACTATTCAATTTTTGTTTGTGATGAGTAGTTTAGAATTCCGAGATTTGTAAAAAATCGATGATAACCTAAACATTTCAACAAAAAATAGTACTTTTTTGAACGTAATTTAACATATTGTGAAAATTTTTATTTTTCTATTACCCATAATGTATGAACTAAAAACAAAAAGTTTAAACGGGAAACAAATAGAATTTTAAAATTAATATATAATTATAAATATTGATAAGGTAAAAACTTTGCTAAGAACATAAACAAATAGACCTACCAACATCAGCTGTGAATAATCTCAAATTAACATTGATATAAAAAATTAAATGATTTGAAATTTAAATTCTTTATATCTGTGAGACTTTTAGAGTAAATTTTTTTGTGTCAATAAAATTAAATTCAAGCTTAATATAAAAACAAAAGATTTCATACAAATAAAAAAATGATCATACTGATTGAATGAAATTATTTTTAGTTAGATTACTAACTGTTCGTTTTATAACCAAACTCAATGTAATTTCTTATAAATTTAAGAAATGTACAATAAATAGAGCTTTTCAAAATTCAAAATTTGAATTGTCTCATTAATATGATTCAATTGAACCATTATGCAAGGTATTTTCATTCATAATAAAATTTAATAAAAATAAGTAGTGAAAAAAATTAACAAAATTTTCAGGGTAATTAAGTTTTTCCATATATATAGATTGATTACGAAAAAAAGCTTATTGGTTTACGTATTAATAAAACTATACATACTGCAGTACAGAAAATACTGCTATTGCCAACAATACAAATAATATAAAATAAAAAAATCGCAATATAGTGCAATATTAGGTAACTGCTGTAACTGTAAATTGGCAATAGAAAAGAAACATAAAGAAACATTATAATTTAACGAAAATCTGTAAAAAGATAGATTTTTGTCTACTGATTAAGTACAATAACTTTTATATAACAATTTTTTGATAAAGTGAGGACATTTAACAAATTTGTAATAAAATTGTAGTAGTACTACTTATATATATTGTAAACATATTTAAAAAAAAAAAAAAAAAAAAGTGCTCATACTAGTTGATACTGTAAATAATTAAATACTAGAATATTGTATGTGTATATGTATTGTATATTAATTGGTTAGAACTTCCTTTTCTTTGCAGAAAACTTCTAAACTTTGTAATGTATTAATTACTCAATAAACTGTGCATTTTATAAACATGTATTGATGTTTGTGAAACTCATTTTTTTTTTTTATTTACCATAATAACTTTCTGTTCCTCAAAAGATAAACAAGTTGAAATTGTACTAACATTAATCGTCTAAAAGTTGTTATAAAATACTTTTAATTTTTATAAATGTTTTATCATTTGTTTTAAGAAACATTTCAGATATTAATTATCATTATTGAAATAATTTTTTTTAAATTCTAGGTTTTAGTTGTAATTTAATAATAAATTTTCAGAGAATAATTATCAGTTGATCATGTAAAAAATGAGAGAAGAGATTATCCAGATGGTGGTCAAGACTAAACCTTATTTCTCCTTCAGTTAATTTTAAAATTCTTTCATAGTTTATATTTATCCTTTATTTTTATTAATAGTTACAGTGTGAAATGGTAATTTAACTACGTAAAATTAAAAGTACTTTAGAGGAAGGAGTTTAAGAAATTTGGCATTTAAGCCCGATCAGACTTTTTCAATGAGGATAATTCCTGCCTGATATGACAGCTTGATTTTAGATTGATATAACAAGTTTAATCATAAACACCAGAGCAGTTTTCGAGAACATTGTAAATATGTGTGAAATTGATAATACAAGCGACACTTCTGGTTTGCTAATTTTGACTAAAACATTTGCATAATAACCATATGCATATCTTGAAAAGATAATTTCAGTTTTGTATGACTTTTCGTTTTTGAGCTAGCTTATTGACTCACTTACACAGACCTTTTTGCAATACTTGATTATTTGTACACCATAAAATGTCTATTTCTATTGAAAATTCGGATTTGAAATTGTTCATAATTGCAATACTTTTCCTTACAAGAAATTTAATGTATATGAGCAAAGATAAAAACTTGTAGTACTTGGAAAAAAAATTATCAAAAAATTAATGAGGTATCGAATTATAAAAACGCACACTGCACTAAAGAACTAGAGTAAACCTGGCTATTGAATCAGCCAACAAAGTTAGTAAATATGTTGATATGTTAGTAAAAAATTACAAGTTAATGCTATAAATAGATAAATTCACTAGAATAAAATTAGAGGCTAATAAATGTACAGAACTAAGGATACATAGTCTAATTAAATTAAACTAATTGATTTAATTAAAATCTATAAAAATGGGGGGAGGACTTGTAACGAAATACCAAAATTATTTATTAATAAAATACATAGACTTGTTAAACTTACTAAATTAACTTAATTATTAACAGATAATAATTTAAATATGAACCATTTATTTTATTTTTTATAATAGTAAAATTTCAACATATTGGTAAAAAAAAAATAAATAAATAAATAAACAGCCATTCTATTTTGAATTATTTCCTGCCAACCTAAACATCAAATAAAACGAAACGAAAAACTTATTTAATAAAGCAATAGTTTTAACAGATTAATATCACTTAAGAGATATGAAAATAGTAATTTGTATTACTTGTTTGTTTGTTTGTTTCGATGCCTAGGCGCAAAACATCTAGGTCATAAGCGCCCGATCAACTAAATAACTTCACTTAATACTATTTATATTACTTATTGCATTGTATTAAAGAACTTTTATCCATACAGATCAATAAACAACTGGTACCTTGTATAGGTAAACTCCTAAAAAAGACCATGACTATTAATAATGAAAATAGAAGATAGAAAAAATTACTCAGAATGACAAAGATTAAAATTGTAATATTGATTAGTAATAAAAAATAAATCATTACAGATTTTTTTAAATAATGGATAAGGATAATCATAATCAAGAGGAAATTAATTCTTATAATCGATTATTTAATAAATCACAATAGTTTTCATAAATTAAAATACATAACTCAAATAACTAGCAAAATAAAAAAACATGTAAGAATTCTCACCATAGTAACAATTATTATGGGGTTGTACTATTAAAATAAATTAAATAGATATTTAACTGATACTGGAGATGATATTGAGATGAATAATAGACAAAATCTACAGAATTGATTGTAAGCGGTGCATTAAGAAATTTTACATAAGTGAAACTTCAGAAAATTTGAAAACAAATGTTAAACAATCAAAATTAACTTTAGAACTCACCAAAAGTTATAACCTACTAAATATGCTATTAATAATTACCATATTTTTGATTTTACTAAAGTTAAAATTTAGAGAATACCACTAAGTAATTTGAAAAATAATGTTTTATAAATACAACACATTAGAATCAATTACTTCATTTCAAATAAATTATAAATCTAATCTAAGCCTAATTACTCTTTATTTTCCATTTAACATATTTTTTTAAAGAACTTTAATACATTAAACTTAAACTTTTACAATAAATCTAGAACTTTATTACAAAAAAGCTTCACAAAAATTGCTAAAATGGAACTTTAAAAAAATCTGCCATAAAAGTTTCAAATCCTGGGTCATACAGCAATTTAAGGAATCCCTAAATCTGATGAAATTAAAATACTAAATTCCAATTCATCATATATCGACAGCCATACCACAAAAGCCTGTAAGAGCAAAAGCTAAACATTTTCAGGAAACGATAAAAACAGTATGTTGAGTATATTAGTTTCGGTTCAATTTTTTTTGCAGGGCTAAGACAAAGATGTAATGCTCTATGTATTATTTTTTATTGTATTTCTGACAAATAACCTTTTAGATTATTCTAACTTATAGCTTTTTAGTTACTTTGAAAAACAGGTAGTAGTTAGGTAAACGCTATCAAATTTACTGCAGTAGCACCCATAACTTTATTAATAATGATCAAAGCATGACAGGAACAAAGTCAGTTTTCAAAACGATACTTCAAATGAAAATTTGACAGGTACTGGTATTGGTACTGGTGAGGAGAATTAGTCAAGCAAGTGGGCCTATTGGACCTTTTTGCCAACCCCAAAGATGACACTACCAATGGTTATCTATTGTACCTCCAACTCAGTCTCAAACCTTTTTGTTCTTGTTCTTGTTATTGTTCTTTTAATGAAGTTCTAAAGGTTGGGCCATTTTATGGAGTTGGCTTTTCATACCTGAATTCTATTTGCGTCCAGAAGTCTGTATCTGAGTGATGCGAATCGGTCACATTCTTCTCTTCACACATTACGGTTTTTCGGTAACGACACAATCTCCATAATCTTCACTGTAACTTACGGTTTTTACATCTTAATTAGCTGATTTATAAATTACAGGTTTTTACAAAAGGCCATAGAGAAGAAATAAAACATGGTAGATTTCATTTTGTGAGATCAGAATATGAGCCAGGACAAGATTGACCAGAAAAGCTCAAACCCACATCTTCCATAGAAATTGTCCTTACAGGCTTTTGCAGAGTGGCTTTTGATATATAATTGTAATGCATTAAATTTATAATATACTTAAATATTATACTTTTACACAAAATTTAAATTAATATTCTGTCATCATTCTGGGATTAAAATATGCTAGAACACAAAATTATTCAGTGTTTATGGCTGTAACTATTCCATTTTTTATTGGCATAATTCACAATTATATATTGAATGACAAATTATTTGTATTAATTATTATCATGCTAGATATGTTTTAGTGACAACATTGATCTAGTCAGTTAGTTGTTTGGTGTTAACTTCTATATCAATCAGAGATGGCAAACTGCTACTCTCAGTCCAGAGTACCAAGTATTTTACACTTTTTTTTTTGTTATCCCCTTCCTCGCCTTTTAGGCTACATGGTTTTTTTTTTCTGGTCCAGAGGAGAAGGAGGGGGAATTATGCCGAGTTAAAATTCCCACCAGGTACCGGGATATGAACTTGTAAAATTTTTCCATCTCACTTCGGTTATCAGGTAACCTGGCAATGCGCAGTGCTGTGCACACATGTTAGTCCACTTGGCCACCCTGCCCCCATAGATATTGCAGGGTTGCAGTATCTATATAAATCCTTGAACTGAGGATTTTAACTTGCATGTTAGCCACTAGTCTATTACTGTCCTTAAGTATTTTACTCAAATACTGACCTTTTTAGAGTACCAAAGAATTTAATTACTATTTCAATTGATGTCAAAGGATTAACTGAAGTAGTGATTGAATTCCCAATAGTGATTCAATTTGAGTAAAATACTTGGTATCTGGTACTCAGAGTTGCATTTGCACATCTCTGATCTCAAAACATCAAGTGATTATAAGATCACAATTTCTTCTCTTCCACTTCCCTTTTTAAGACATTTGTCACTTTGTTCTAAAACGTACTATCAAAAAACATGAAGCTTATTCAAAATTCAAATGATTGTGATGGTAATGGTATTCATGTTTTAACCATATTTTATCAACGTTAACCGTATTGGTACTAATACTAATTTCTTTTTAAATCATATCATAAATAATTTATACAAACAAATGAAATTAATATGGATAATTAGTGACAAGTTTTATGGTAGCCTCATTATTTTTGAAATGTCCGCCACTGAAGAAGTGTAATAAGATGGAATTAAATGGTCCATTCCAGAAGATTTGAATTTCTCCAAATCAGTATATCTGTGAAGTCCTGTTTCAACTAGTAATGTAATCATGCCTCTTTGGTTCCCAAAGTAAATGTCAGTGCTACATCTACAACAAAATTTATGCATGCAAGAGAAAATAATGCGAACTTTAACAATTTTAAAATTAAATAAAGCTTTGAAACATAAAACTGTCACAGTATAATGAAGAGTTAAACGATTAAATGATACCTGATATGTATTTAATCAATTGAATGTATTCAATTTGAGAATAGTAAATGCATTCATAAACATCACTTCAGTAAAAAAACATAAATAATAGTCTACGAATTGCCAAAATTAATTAAATTTTAACTAGTTTTCTTTTTCTTAATTGTTTAATCAGACCTCATTTCAACCAGCCTTCCACTAAAAGTGAGAGAACTAAAATGAAGTAATGACTCATGAGTATTTTTTTATTTTTCTCATATAAATAAAATGGGTTACTAAAGTTTTTTTATGAGTGGTTTCTAGAAGCATAAAATGTCACAGAAAATTGAATATTGTTACAAATGACCACAAAACTAGTCTTAAAGAGCAATTATTCTATAATTAATTATATAATAGGTAGGCCAGAAAATTATTTGTCAATATATTATAATTATACATTTTAATAATTATAAAGGTCAAAATAAGATGTAGCTATTGCACACAGCTATAACACCTCCAAATCGAATTAGAGGTTTGAAAATTTATAAGCAATTTATTTTATTATTATAATATATTGAATAAGATAAATAATCTTAAAAATAACGCTAAATCTTAAAGATAATAACCATAATCAAGATTGCAATACTTTCCCTCACTATATAAGTAAGTGAATGTAAAAAGTTTTCTTTCAAGTTTATATTTTTATATCAATCTTCCTCCAACTATGCCACTCTAATCTATCCTAAAATTTCTGATTGAAGATACTTTCAAGCACCAAGGGACCCCAGAACAGGGTTACATGATGCAAGTTAAGCAATCAAATTTTTTAAGAAGGATTAATTTTTAATGGTTCATGAATTTTTGAGAGATACACATTTATAGGGTTTCGAATTTTTTGAGGGAACCATGTTTTTATGGGATTTGAGTATGAAGAATTTTCAACGCAGCAAAGAAACTAAAATAATAAACCACATTTTTATCATTCTACTTTTACTTGCACGATTTTTAAGAATAGGAGAGAAAAAACGAATTCTTGGAGGAGGAGGTCATACAACATCACCATTGGAGGATGGACACTCCTATTGAGAATTATTAAAATGACTAAAATAAATAAACCATTGTTCTTCAGAAACATTGTAATGTCCAACAATTTGTTTAATAAAATATCCTATTAAAAATCAGTAATACCATGAACAGTATTGAATATGTATTGAGTATAATATAATAAGTATTGAATGATAAGAAGAATCGGAAATCATAATTGTAGTTTACACAAGGAGCTTTTAAACAAAAAAAAGTATTTATTTATATAGAGTATCCTTCCCTTCTCCCCTCCAACAAAAGTATAATGTTTGAAGTTTATACTGCAAATTTAACTCTAAACAAAAGGTTGCTATGAAAAGGGTTACCAAATGAAGTGAAGTTTTTTATTTCCCATTTTTCATTAGATTAATTCGTCTCTTCTTCACCGATCTACCGGGTTTCATCTGATGAACTAAATTCCTACTTTATATTTTCCACCACCAGCAAAAGCTCACCCACCTCTTACCAGTTTTCTTTATCACCCTCATTTAACAGTGATAATTTCTATTTCTCCAACATTTCATCAACCGATCTCGTTTCCTCTATAATGAAATACCACACAAACTCCATCGGACTTGATGGAATACCAGTCAAACTGTTAAAATTATGCCTTCCCGAAGTCGTTCCAGTTCTCCTTTTCATCTATAATTTTTCCCTCCAGAACTCAGTTTTTCCTACTGCTTGGAAAAAAGCATTAGTCAGACCTATTAACAAAATCCCCAATCCTACCTCTCCTAAAGGCTACCGCCCAATCTCCATTCTTTCTAACCTTTCTAAACCTCTGGAAAGAATAGCTCAATCCCAAATCTTTAAATTCCTTGAAAACTCATAATTACTTGATCCTCTCCAATCTGGTTTCCGACCTGGCTAAAAATTACCAATGACTTACATACCGCAATGGACGACAAAATGTTAACTGTGTTAATACTTCTCGACTTTTCCAAAGCTTTTGACTCCTTAGACCACTCTATACTCTACACTATATTAAAATCTCTATCCTTCTCCAGCAGGTCTATCCTCTGGTTGCAGTCTTTCCTATCCGACAGAACTCAAGCAGTCACCATTCCAAACCAACCCCTATCTTCCTTCCTTACACAGTCCTCTGGAGTGGCCCAGGGTTCGAGCATTTCCCCTCTCCTTTTTAATTCCTATATAAATGATCTTTCCAAATCCATCTACCACTGTTCACATCATTTATACGCTGATGACACCCAAATCTATTTTTCCTTTCATGCTTCTGAGCTACTAGTCGCGTTAGCCAATATTCAGGTAGACCTAGATAGGATGAGTGCCTGGGCAAGTCTGAATAATTTAAATCTAAACGCGATGAAAACTAAGGCCATTATTATAGATTCCAGTTCTATTCTTAAATCCATCTCCTTCCTTCCTCCTTCAGTCATCAACGATTATCCTGTCACATTCAGTTCCTCCGTTAAAAACCTATGAATCACCATAGACGAAAACCTCTCCTGGAAACCCCATATCGCCCTCATCTCCCGTAAGTCAATAGGTACCCTTAAGCTATTTCATCGCTCCCGCCACCTACTCCCACAACCCATCCGCAAGCTCCTTGTATCCTCTCTCATTTTCCGCCACTTTGACTACGGCTGTGTGGTGTACGGTGGCATTCCGATGGTACTCGAGGATAGATTGAAGCGACTCATGAATACGTGCTTAAGATTTGTCTTCGGTACATCGAGGCGGTTTCATGTGTCCCACCTTTACGAGGAGTTAAAGTGGCTCTTCCCTTCTTTCAGCAGACAATATTTCCTTGGATCTTTCCTATTCTAAACAATCAACACCAGACACTCTTCCTACATCTACAGTCTCCTACAGTTTAAACCCGTGGTCCACTCCCAGAAAATATTATATACATTATATTGGTTGATTTCATCATATAAATACTAACAGGATCGGAGGCATTTAGAAAAAAATATATATATATGAATTAGAAAAATCACTGTCAGTGTCCCTCTCCCCTCCCCCCTCCCTCCCGCCATACACGAAAAAGGCCTTGAGAAAATATAACACTGACAAAAATGTTTTCATAAATATAGGTTATCTATTAAAGACATTGGTTTTCAGACCAGAAACCTAAACATTTATTCTTTTTCTATACTTTCAATACGAATCTGCATCAAAAATGGAATGGAACTAACATCATTGTGAATTAGATTTGTCGTCAAATGAAACCGACAGAAAATCCATAGATATAACATTTATTCTGTTTTCCTCTCAAGTCAGGAAAATTCTAAGACACGTAAATATAAATAAACACTATTTTTATCAATATTTATTCATTAGAAAAAAAGGACCAGTTTTAATTTGAAATTAAGGTAACTTTTTAAATAAAAATCACAAACAATATTATAATAAAGTAATCCCGAAATGTCATAAAAAAAGAGAAAAATTTGTTGGGAGCATAAACTGTTACTTAATTTTATTCATACATCTCAGATAAACATCTCCCTTAGGACTTATGAACAAAATATTATTTTAATTATTGTATCTCCTTTCTCAGTCTTTCAGCTACATGGATTTTGACACAAAAATCGACAAACCATAACAAAATATGATAAAGCACAAATTCCATGGCACAGACCACTTATTATCAAATCATTAGCATCCACCTGAAACTTTGTGAATGGCTTAACCTTCAATTTTTTTATCTACGAAAATCATAGAAATGGGTTTTCTCATTAAATTGATTAATTTTATGGGGTAATAAAAAATCATAAATTCTATTGGCTTTCCACTTGAATCGTAAAATCATTTGATCCCAAAATCGAAAAAAGGTGGCTTAAAAAATATTGGGCCGTCTGGTCTATATAGTCTCGCAATTTTGACAAGTTAGGGGTGGAGGTCAAATGACAGGATATTTTTTTTTATTTCACTTTTTTTCTCCATTTCAACTTATCAGACAATTCGAGTGGAAAGGTTTGCAAACAAAGTTTGACGATCTCCAGATTGAAAACGTCCCAATTCTGAAATTCCTCGTAAATAAAAACGTTATGGATTACGATTAGATGAAGCCATTCACGAAGTTTCAGGCGGATGTTAATAATCTGATAAAAAGGAGTCTGTTCCATCTTGCCAATTAATTTCTTCAAGGCATGCAAGCCTCTCTCCAGTGTTTACTCGTTACTCGTTTCTATTTCGCTCCTCGTCTTCAGAGTGACTTCCATTGGTGTTATCTCTTTCCGGTGGTCTTCCGGGAGCTTAACTTATTCCAAGTTGAAACTCTACAAATGTGCGACCCATAAAAATTCATAAACCCTAAGGATGTGTCCTCTGAATTTTAAAAATTTGTATGGTTTTTGTCCTCTTCTTTAACACTTAAATTTATTGAATGCTTTCTCAAATGATTTTATAAGAGATTTCAGGATTGATTCTGATGGGTATAAAATTGATAAAAGCTATCAAGTTTTACATTATATATGAAAAAGTATGAACAACGATGGTACTTACAAAACCGTACTTTCTGGAGGAATAAGTTAGATATTTCAACTTTAGTCACTCTTTTTGCTAACTCATCGTAAACTAAATCGGATAAAATAAAAATATTTACTTGTCACCTATCATAAGACAACGCTTTGGATCTATGCCACTTGGAATGAGGACATGATCTATGGCAAATGGAGATGGCTTGCCAATTACATCTGCTTTCCTATCAGAGCAAACTTCCACTGCCGCTACCAATGCTCCAGAACCTTTAAAATAATTTAATTTCCTCAGTATTCTTAGTCACTTGCAAAAAGCGTACAATCATTATCTAATAATTTTGAAATTAATTTTACTGAAAAAAACTGACAAGAACATTAAAATAGCTTCAAAAAATATTTTTTAAAAATATAATATATTGCTAATAGCAGCTGCCACAGATCGGTTCAATAATTTATCATGTTGGGTATACTGAAACACTTTCTAATACAAGCCCTTTCGATCTAAGCAGAATACTATTGGGACGCTGGGTTGAGCTTTTTAATGTGTAATTTTACTTTCTTACTTTTCTTTTCATTTCTTTTATGATTTTGGTTTTATTTATTTTGTTCGTTGTTTTCTCGTTTGCCAGCATAAAGTAAGGCTATGGCCTCCTGCCCTACAGTATCCTTTAATAATACCCGACTTACCCCTGTTGAACAAATCCGATACCTTGGACAAACGTCTAACTTGGAATCCTCATACCAGATTGAAACGACAAGAAACCGCTCGATGTTTCAGACTACAACAACACTTACTATACAAACGCTCTAAGCTTCTAGTTATACATGACTACAATAAGACTTATTTGGACTTACGGTTGAGCTTTGGGGCTCCACTAAACCATCGAATTCCTCTCGTATCCAATCCCCTTACAAGCCAAAATCCTCCATAAAATCCTCAATACTCCTTACTTTGTCACCAGTGAAATAATCCATAACGACCTTAATGTTCCTTATTTTTCAGATTTGGCCCAATCCAGATACTTATCCTACCATAATAAACATCAGAACCATCCGAATCGTCTCGTACCTAACCTTGCTTCCTCTTCTATCCCTGATAACCCTCCAAGGCCTCTGAAAAGAAGATGTACTCGAGATCTCCTATTGTAGATACTTTTTTTTTTTTAGTGCTATTGGGTAGTTTCTCAACAAGTGATTTCATGTTATAATTTTCTGTTATCAAATTCACTAAATGTATTTTATTTACTAATACAATTTTAAATATCATAAATTACAAAAAATGTTAACTTGAATAATAATAAAGAATATTTATATAAGTTTTAAATTTTTTTACAATACCTCGCTTACTGATGTTCTTGTGCCCAACCTCTATGGACAACGACACAGACCAAAGTAGGCTATTAATAAAACAGTTTAAAAATTACTTTGGCGTCATGTACGCACTTCGCGTGACTCACTCGATTCTCGCGGGGTACAGTCAAAGTCTCAACAATTAAATATTTTATCCAACTACTACAAGATAACTAAATTCACGACACTAATATCAATCCCTCTAATTTTTCTCTATCTCTACTATCTATCTTAATGTCTAATCTATAAGCAAGGAAATTTGATCGAAAATATAGAAAGAAGAGTATAAAATGTAAAACTGCTACAATTCTAACAAATAGAACAAAGCTCCGATGTCCGATGTTATATGAGGCCATAGTCACCAGGTCTGCATAAGGTAAATAAGGCATAAAGGCGTCAACATAAGGTAAATGTGCCGGTAATAAACAGTTTCCAACCCATTAACAAATAATAGCTTTATATATCTTATAAAGAGTGTAAATATGACTAGATTCGCAGTTAAAACACTTAGGAGGGAGATATCTGAAAATCAAGTGGTATGCCACAAAATAGTTTTTTAACAGAGCAAGGCTAAGTTTTTACGTTTGACAAAAAATAGGCCTGCACCAAGATCTATTATAGAAAGCATCTGTTTAAGTTAAAGTTCCATGAATCCTACCTGGAACTGTAAGACCTCCTGCAATTGGAATCTTTTCATCTTTGTTTGTAGCGAGAAACAAGCATTTGGGGTCATTCAAGTAACACTTAGCTTTTGCAACCTTTGGATAGCTGAAGAAAAGATCATAGCCTACCACTACAGCTCCAACATCAGGAACTAACTCGATGTCGCTACTCTCTAAAGTGAAATTAGAAGAACCTCTAGCTTCATAATTATCAGGCTGAAATAGAAGTGAATTATGTACAAAAATATCAATCATAAACAATATATTCTAAAATAGAATGAAATGTTTTTTGTTTATTTTTGGATATTATTCCATAATTCTTATTTCTTGAATGGATCACACCAAAAATAATGAGTCAGCGATAAATCGGGTTGCAGGTTGCTGTTGATAAATTTAGATGTTATAATACAAGTAAATCTTTTACTGAACGGTAAGTATTAACTTTAGAGTTTAATAAAACATGGTTGTACGAGACTCCAGTACAATCAATTTGTTATAACTCTTCTATATGTATTATATATCATCATTATTTATAGAATAATTGAATAAGAAAATTAGTTCACGGAATATATAAATATTTAGTGATAGTTCAGTTGAATGAAAATTTTATTTGAGAAAAAATATTAATACCATGAAAAATATAAAGAATAGGCATGTTTTTAGCAACACAATGAAATTTCACTAATGGAATTCCAACTCTATCCATTTGTAAACTCCGATTTTGATTTCACCGTCACTACCTATGTTCTTCCAAGTGAAGCATTCAATCCTAAACTCTAGAGTTTCAGAGCTCGAACTGAAACAAAACAGATTCGAGCAGCAGAAGCTGGTCAGGACCGTGGAGATCAGAGGTATTCTGGTGAGACCTGGTGAGACTCCAATGGACCTGGTAATGATACACGGTGGGCCAGACCCCCTTACCGTGCACCCCCCCCCACATCCCTATAAATTGCACATTGTTGTGTTCCTTGTAACAATTTATTAAAAAAAAGCCAATGTTCCCACAAAAAAAAGTGAACGCACTGCCCCAAAATGGCGTCCAAAGATGGCGGATTGACGACTTTGACTTTAGTTAGTTTTTTGGTCACTGAGAGCAAATAGCATTAAGCTTAATTTCCTCATAGTTGGTCTTTTATTAAAGCTGAATAGTTATAGAATAATAAAACATGAAGAAATATTAAAAAATAATTGGCTAAGGCTATGAAAAACACCAGTAAAGTCAATTTTTTTAACAAAAAAATTTTCAAGTTACAAATCAAACGTCGTTTGTAATTAAACGGCCTACAATAACGCAAAACGTGCTGAAATAAACTATCTGGAGAATATATTTCTCTTTCTGAAACGCTAACTATTTTTTACAAATGTTTGAGTAGTTCCGTAAAAAATGCACTTATGCGGCAGAAAAGCGGTACTGGCGTGGGTGCCTACAGGCCTCTACCACACCATTCAGTGCCCATAAATGGCGTAGTTATAGTGATATAATAACATTTTTGGTACATTATATTGGTTTTATTAACGAACAAATATTAATGCAATAATTTAATAGTAAAAAAAAAAATTTAAATTAAAAAAAAAATTTATTATTATTTTTTTTAATTTTAACCTCCTTTATTCTATACGTAGGTCGTTTAAGAATACCTCAATTGTAAAAATGGTATAATTACAATAATAAAACTTAACTAAAAAATATTTTGCTAAATATCTTGATTTTTTTTTTATTTAACGTTTGCAATTTAACACTGTGTTTTGAATATTTACTGATTCTGAGAAGTAATTAAAATTTTTATATACTTCCCAGGAAATGAGTCATATTCATACCTTTTTTATAAACTAAAATAATATATACCTAATCTGAACTATATATAATGAATAGCTACCGGGTTGTTTAGTAAAACTCATATATCACTAATTAAAAAATTAATTTTTATTTCCTCTATTTTGTGCAGAAGTTGGACTATATCATAAATAAATAGGAAATTTTAATATTGACTGAATTATTCTCTATGCACAAAGAAAGATATAAAGGGTGACCCTATAAGTTCTTCTATAAACCAAAACTGATTGTTTGGATTTGATCCCAAAATGAGGAAAAACGTGAACTTAAACGAGAAAATTGGAAAAATACATTAAACGAACGAGAAAGGAAGTGCCAAAACCTCGGAATAGATAAAAAGGACCTGTATCCATTATATAGCTAAATGAATGTATAGTAGATAGATGAACAGAATATTTCAAGATGCTGCTAAAACGGGATCAATTGCAGTATGGATGATATTAAGTTGACGATGTAGGTTTATTATGGTGAAAACCACTTTATTTTCGATTGCTGAAGGTGCATATCGGGACTATATTAACTTTGAAGATGAATATAGAGATGTACATCGAGAAAGTTATAGCTCATAGCTTTCCTTCTGTTTAGGGGAATTTCAAAAGATTTTTTAAGGTATCTTATATTAGTTGTAGCTCGTTATTCTTCTCGTTATTCTTGAATTGTTCGGAATTTGTACCATATCATAAAAAAATAGGAAATTTTAATATTGAATGTATTATTCTCTCTGCACAAAGAAAGATGGAAAGGGCGAAACCGAACTGCTTTGACAGTTTTGCGAGTACATAGGCAACAAGCATATTAGAAAATAATATGAAAGGACTGTGGTTTTTACCTTTACAAGAAAGGAGGTACTAGGAAATGTAATACCCATCAAGACCCATTCCTGTTTAGTGTACCAAACAAATTATACACAAGAATCGTAGAAGCTGGAATAAGAAATATTGTCGATTGCCAGAGTGATATGGATTGAGAAACTCAAGTTGCACATTGGAAGAGAAGTTGAAAATTGGGACTGTCTTCACTTTAAGGCAGGTTATAGAGAAGTCCACATAAAAAGAAAAATAGCTCTCTATCTGCTCAGTGCCTCACACTTTGGATTATGCTAATATCTAACTGTCTTTCAGAAAAACTCGTTTTCCTTTTAGATCCCTTAAAAAATCTTTTGAAAATCCACTAAACAGAAGGAAAGCTATGAGCTATAACTTTCTCGATATACCTCTCTATATCCTGCTTCAAAGTTAATATAGTCCCGATGTGCACCTTCAGCAATCGAAAATAAAGTGGTTTTCACCATAATAAACCTACATCGTCCACTTAATATCATCCAAACTGCAATTGATCCCGTTTTAGCAGCATCTTGAAATATTCTGTTCATCTATCTACTATACATTCATTTAGCTATATAATGGATACAGGTCCTTTTTATCTATTCCGAGGTTTTGGCACTTCCTTTCTCGTTCGTTTAATGTATTTTTCCAATTTTCTCGTTTAAGTTCACGTTTTTCCTCATTTTGAGATCAAATCCAAACAATCAGTTTTGGTTTATAGAAGAACTTATAGGGTCACCCTTTATATATTTCTTTGTGCATAGAGAATAATTCATTCAATATTAAAATTTCCTATTTATTTATGATATAGTCCAACTTCTGCACAAAATAGAGGAAATAAAAATTAATTTTTTAATTAGTGATATATGAGTTTTACTAAACAACCCGGTAGCTATTCATTATATATAGTTCAGATTAGGTATATATTATTTTAGTTTATAAAAAAGGTATGAATATGACTCATTTCCTGGGAAGTATATAAAAATTTTAATTACTTCTAAGAATCAGTAAATATTCAAAACACAGTGTTAAATTGCAAACGTTAAATAAAAAAAAATCAAGATATTTAGCAAAATATTTTTTAGTTAAGTTTTATTATTATAATTATACCATTTTTACAATTGAGGTATTCTTAAACGACCTACGTATAGAATAAAGGAGGTTAAAATTTAAAAAAAATAATAATACATTTTTTTTTTAAATTAAAATTTTTTTTTTACTATTAAATTATTGCATTAATATTTGTTCGTTAATAAAACCAATATAATGTACCAAAAATGTTATTATATCACTATAACTACGCCATTTATGGGCACTGAATGGTGTGGTAGAGGCCTGTAGGCACCCACGCCAGTACCGCTTTTCTGCCGCATAAGTGCATTTTTTACGGAACTACTCAAACATTTGTAAAAAATAGTTAGCGTTTCAGAAAGAGAAATATATTCTCCAGATGGTTTATTTCAGCACGTTTTGCGTTATTGTAGGCCGTTTAATTACAAACGACGTTTGATTTGTAACTTGAAAATTTTTTTGTTAAAAAAATTGACTTTACTGGTGTTTTTCATAGCCTTAGCCAATTATTTTTTAATATTTCTTCATGTTTTATTATTCTATAACTATTCAGCTTTAATAAAAGACCAACTATGAGGAAATTAAGCTTAATGCTGATTCTCAGTGACCAAAAAACTAACTAAAGTCAAAGTCGTCAATCCGCCATCTTTGGACGCCATTTTGGGGCAGTGCGTTCACTTTTTTTTGTGGGAACATTGGCTTTTCTTTAATAAATTGTTACAAGGAACACAACAATGTGCAATTTATAGGGATGTGGGGGGGGTGCACGGTAAGGGGGTCTGGCCCACAGACTATGAGTGTCGGCGCAGCACTGAGGCTCAAGCCTGGAGGTGGAAGATGTGGAGAACGTAGAGAGGGTCAGGACTCGGCAGGATGATACACCCGGCCCACTATCAGCCAGATTTCTACCGCAGTCTTTGAAAGACGATTTGATTTATAAACGAAAAGTAACCAGAGACTTTTCCACTCGTCACTTGGTCTAGTAGGAGAACGATAACCACAGAATCTTTGTCGGCAAAACTATGATAAGAGACAGAACAATTATAAAGCGTGTAAACTAAACAAATAATTACTTACACCAGCACCGAAGTTTTCAATTTCAAATTTATCCAACTCTTCTTTGATAGAGGTTCCACCAACAACATATACTTTCTTGTTGAAATTAATATTTTTCAAATATTTTGCAGTAAGCCAGGCAGTTGAAAGAATTTCTTCCTGAAAAGTACATCATGCTATCGATGATTATATAGTGAATTTGATGATCTACAACTTCTATTATATTTAGTTTTTTCTCTTAGGAAACTCATTATCAAGCTGCAGGACCTTTTATTGTAATCTGTTTCAGTTTTGACAAATTTGGTAAAAATCAGCATTGGTTTATGGTGGATATAGATCATACCACTTAACCAAATTATGAAGTTCAGGTACTGGTTTAAGGCACAATTTAAACTTCTTTGATTTCTTAACGAGTTCGTCTTCCGCTTCGATACACCGTTTAGGAGTATTTTATGAAAAACAAAGTTTGGCTATTTTGGCTGTAAAAAAATTTCCCATCCGTATTAGCATTTTTGTTTTTACATGTTTAAACCCATATATAAAAATTAAAAAACTTTCCCAAATTTTTTGCAAAAACAATTCCCGTTTTGATCTTCAAGTTACTGGTCTAATATCATTTAAATCAGTCATCATTTTTTTAGGTGGCATGATCCAACTGGCATTTTAGGCTACACGGGGTTTTACCAGGGTCGGGGAAGAGGGCGGGGGAATTATGCCGAGTTAAAAGATCCAATAGACAGCAGGATTTGAACATGTAAATATTTTTCTAACTCATACTTCGGTTATCAGGTTGCCCGACACCCACTGCTGTGCTTACGCGTTTGTCCGTTCGGCCACCCCGCCCTCCTATCTACCTAATTCAATTGCTTTATTAATAGGTTAAAGTTAATTACTGTCAAATGCATTGTATTTTTTTTTTTTTTATTTTTTTGCACTGCTAACAGGCAGTAGGCGCCCCTTCCAAGTCGACACGATGAGGCCCGGATTGCCTAGCTCAAAAGCCGACACTGGTAAACCATGTAATCATGTTCAATTCAAACTGTCCATGCTAGCATCTATAACAATTATTGACTTCGTTAATGGAACGATGATACTTAAAATCTGACTTTAAATTAGGGTAATTATAATTTATTGTTTTCAGTCAATACTTAAACAAAGGAGAGACCTCTTTGGCATCAAATCCTAGGCTATTGAATTTTTCTACAAATTGTTTTCTCGTCAACGCGCTGTTGTTGGTAAAATAAAATCTTTTTTTCCCAATTGAAACAAGATTTTTCAAAACTTCTTGAGCTCCAGGAACAGGTACTCTACCATGCCATAACACACCTAAGAAATAATAGTATTAGTTATAGCTGTTTAATAAAACGTCTCGTAATAAACTTTGATTTAAACGGAATATAAACAACATATTCAGAATATACAATTAAGAATACCTAACCCCAGATATATTGGAAATAACAAAGTATGGAAAATGTATCAGCAACTACTATTACAAATATCCTTATTCGAAAATCAAAAAATCTCTCCACACCAGTTTCGTTTCCGTTTAAGACATTTCGCAGTTCAGCAAGGTTTAAATTGACTATGCAGGGTGCTCCGTAAATAGAGGGAATTATTTAAATAGGTGATAGTAGTCATCAAGAACTACAAAAAATGTTCATGTAAACTGTGTCCCCATTTTCAGCAGAAATTAAACATTTTTTTGTAAGTGTTTTGTTGAATAGAAAGCAACAAGTAAAAAGTCAAATAATTACCTATTGCTTCGTATTAAACTAGACAAAATTTACTTCAAATTGAAATAGAGTTTGTCATTGGTGAAACCACTTAAAGACCACTTTTGAGCGACTAAACTGTGCCAAGGTTTGTTTTTTGAAAAATCATAAATTATTCCCGTTTTTTTCCAACTTTACTACAGATATTCCACTTTTAGAAAAACTTTTTTGTTTAATATATTTTAAGTCCATATAAATTATGTTGAGTTTTATTACAAAAAACTTGAGATTTACCTCAGATTGTTTAAATATGATGTGATTTTATTTCCTGTCATCTAAAAGTACGTTTTTTTCAGCAAAAATGCCAACAACAAATTGTTGCAAAGCTTTTATTTCTTATTTTTCATGATCTAAAATGAATTATTGTAAACAAAATTGCCTAAATACACTTTTTATTAAAAAAATGTTTGCTATTTTATTTTTAATATTGTTCAGGTTGATAACTGTCCTCCTGGTTACTTCCCATAGCATAATGATCGTTAATTTTCTTATAACATTTTAATCAATAATAATATTTTAGGATCAAATGACAGGTAGAGGAACAAATAAATAATAATAGAAAAATATAATATACTTCATTATTGAAACAAATATTTAGTACTAAGTTCTCCTATCCACACGCCTACATCAATGGAGTAAGCTCTTGCTTGCTCCTTCCCAAGACCATTTATTGCACTCCTGTGTTTAAAAATTTTGTAAATGAAAGTAGTATAATAAAAATTGTAGTTTAGTTTTCTTTCACTTGTTCCTTGGTTCCATTTAATTGAAACCTACATAAATATGATGTCCAATAAAAATTCAAAATTCCATAAATATGTGCCCTCCTCAAAAATTCATAGCCTTGTAAAAATGTGCCTCCCTCAAAAATTTTAAGTGAAACTTGAGCTATGGAGCCCACTACCAAGCAGTCCTGAGCCATGCTGAGATAAAAAAAGGCAGATGTTGCAACTCCTATGGAATGCATGTCTGGAGCTTGGGCGTAGAGAACAAGATCAAGATAGTGCGAATTGTTTTTTTTTTTTAATTGTAGGGGATTTTTCTCGGGACAGAGGAGAGAGAGGTGGAATCATATCAGTGTTAAAAGAACCAGGATTTGAACTGGTAATCTTCGGTTCAATATTTTACAAACACGTTAGCTTGCTCGGCCATCCCGTCCTAGGAATATTGTAGACATATCGTTATATTCATTCCATTATTCGATATTTTGCTATCTATAGTACCTACTTCGATATTATCTACTATAGATATCGTTCCTTCGATATTTTAATGATTAATTGACATCAATTTTCCCAAATTTGTTAGTTAGAACCTTCTCAAACCAAGGTCCCGAATTCTCAAAGCAATCTATGTAAGGTGCAAATAAATAAGCATTTCGTATGGCGTTTGTGACCTAAGTGTTTCAAGCCTTTAAACTACAACAAACAATTAGCATTTCGCTAAATCCAACCTACGGCTGAATGGTCAAATGGAAATTTCTTAAAAAAGCTGAGGATGACGATGATGGATAGGAACTATAAAATTAATTTTACTAAGGAGAGTAGAAGAATTTAAACTTCCATTAATTAATCTAAAAATGAAAATAACATTTTTTTTATGCGTCTATGTGCTAGAGAATCAATATTGATAGTCATATTTAAAAATGTTTATAATCTCGATGAAAATATCGACTATCGATATTTCAAATCCGATATCCTGATGGCATCGATGGTAATAGGCCGATATTAACATCGACGACAATATCCATATTGGGCCTTCGATATCCCATCTTTTCCCCGTCCCGTGAAAAAGCAGATTCTTCATATTGATAATGTGAACAAAGACTGACGAAAAAAAATTCTTTAACTGTAGGAAAGTTTCTCTAGTCTCTCCCGCCGTTGAACTGAGAACGAAAGTTACTTTACAGATAGTCCTCGTAACTACTGTTTCTAAGAGCATTATCAAGATTTTTTTTTTTATACAAAAAAATGCGTAGAAAAAGCTTAGATGTTTTTAAGGTTATTTATTGAAATTCAATTTAAATTATCTGAATTCAATATAACACTGTTCTTCTTCTTATTTAATAATCTCTTATAGCTTTCGGTGTAGAGAATTTGTACAAGGATTACCATCCGTCTCTGTCGAGGGCTGCTTTCATGGCTTCCGGCCGTCCAATTCCTCTAACTTTAAGAATATTCTTGAGATTATCTCCTCAAGTAATTCTTGGTCTTCCTCTTCTTAGATCGTTTTCCCGGTGGTTATCCGCCATAATTTTCTTTGGTGAACGGCTATCATCCATCCTCATTACATGACGGAACCATCGAAGGTGTTCTTTCTCCATTATCTGGTTGAGGGGTTCAATTTTTAGTCCGTATCGTTGTGTTACGTATTCGCTCTCTCTTGGTCTTTTCCTCTATTTTCCTCAGATACCTCATTTCCACGCTTTGGAGTCGGCTGCGATCACATTGCTTCAGGGCCAAGGATTAGCTTCCATAAATGAGGATAGGGACGAACGTCGAGTGATAGACGGCTAATTTTGTTTCTTTTGCCAATTCTCCCTTAAACATCCTTCCTGAAGTGACAACTCTCGTATTGATTTTGTCTCTGATCTTCTAGCTCTTACTGATCGTTACACTCAAATACTTTAACGTAGTAACCTGCTTTATCACCTCCTCATGAATGCGAATTCTCCCAAAATTCTTCTTGTTTCTGGACACCACCATATACTTGGTATGGAAATACCAATGACACTATTTATTTTTGCTAACTCTTCTGTCCTGACATCTAAATTGGTCTGTAACTTTTCTTTACTGTCAGCTATCAGCATAATGTCATCAGCTGATGCAAATGATGGACAGTTGACTGGTTGCAATTTCCAACAAACAAGTGCTGTTTCTTTGGTTTCCCTCTTACATTCCTTAATAACATTATGGTGATAAAATATAAAAGGCTATTTGTCTTCCTACCTGACTTCCATTGTAGTGGCACATTCGGCTGATGTTTGATGGGATGTTCTAACATAGTTTCTGTAGGTCTTATAGGATGATTCCATTCTCTGCATAAGAGCCTCGGACATATGTTTATGCCCGAGTGAAGCCCATAACTCATTACAGGGTTTCCTCTCGAATGCCTTCTCTAAGTCTATAAATCACAGATAACTCTCTTTATCGAACTCGATGAATTTCTCACATATTTGGCGTAGCGAGATGTGATCTTGAGTACTCTTGCATGATCAGAAGCCACTCTGCTCCTCGTCCAGTAGGTGTTCTACCTCGTTTCTCAATCTTTCCTTTGAGCTTAAAATATATAGAATATGTAAAATTGGTTTGGCTTCATTTTTTTGAAAACCATGTATGTCTAGTTACAGCGCATCTGCTCAGCCTCTGCTGGTCCTTAATACCAGTAATACGTGAGAGGCACTGGAATCTACGGAGTCCTGCCTTTTCATCCACGAGTTGGGGAAAGGTTTGGCTGGGAGACTGGGGTGAATGAATATTGTATAAAAGCATGTGTGTATTTAATTAGTTTAGTTTATTTTTGTTTGGTTTAGTATCTTTTAGTTTATATACATTTACTTTTAGTATTGTTATATTACTGTTTATTTAATTTTATTTATTGTGCATAGTATGAATTAGCGACTCTTTATCACTACTACTATTGTCCTTAATTGTGACAGATTGTAATATATTTCAATAAAGAAATTTATTTAAAAAAAAAGTTTTCAATATGGAAAAAGTAGTATTCAAATTTTAAAATAAAAACCAACATACTGTTAGCTTAAAGTTACTATACCGAAAAAAAAATATTTTAACTTACCATCGCAATCACAAATAAAATAATCGAAAGATTTCAAAAAATCCTTTTTTTCTACATTTCCCAAAGACATTAAGTTAGTTGAAGCCATTTTTATATACACAAATGGTCCTTAAAATAAGATACATGTATCATTACAAAAGATTCTCAAAAACTAATTGTTTATTTATTCATTGCTTTCAATAATTAAATTATTAAAAACATATTTATTATATTCTAATCAAGGATATTCAAAAAATGTTAATCTAAACGATTACTGCTATCATGACATACACTATTATTGTTACAAACTATAACGAAATTATTATATTTAATTTTTTTTTTAATATAAAAGAATATTATAACTTCATATATATTATAAATAAATATTATATTATATAACACTTAATACACATAATTACTATCGGTCATTCGGAAGGAGGTAACGCACAGGCGGATTTAAGTGGTAAGCGTCCTACGTGGCCCCCAGATAGAGAGGTCCCGAAGGAAAATGTTTTGGAAATAAAAAATCTCCATATAAAAATCTTATATCAGTAACAACGTTTTACTTTCACTTACCCATATATGTAATATATAGTAAGGGAAAGTATTGCAATCGTGAAAATCTTCGAATCTGAGTTTACAACGGATATACACGTTTTGAGGTTCCCTGTGTCATCAAGCATTTTGGGCGTTCAATGCTTCTGTGTTCTCCATGTTCTTATTTTCCCAAGTTCTTCTCTTCCCGCGGAATAATCTTTTCTCTTCGCGTCTTTTTTTTCGATGTGTTTCTTGAAAGAGACTCGTGATACTTGATTATCTGTTTATCGATCCCTAACATCCCTCTAAATTTGAGCCAAATATAACGTGCGGTTTTAGAGGTATAGGTGTATCAAGGAAAACACGTTTGCGCATACATAAGAGAAAGTAAAGAACGGAATTTGATAAAATCGATACAGAATCATTATTTTACCAAAATTCACTATTCTTTCAACTTTGAGCCAAATCAAACGAGTCGTTTATGGAATATTAGCATTTATAAAAAAATAAAATAAAAAAAAGACGTTTGTACACGCTGGGTGGATTTTTTAATATTTTTTTTTATTGATTATTAATACGTTCTGTCACATTGAGTAGCATTAATATTAAGGCTACATTAATCATTCACACCATATGTACATACAAATAATAACCAAGATAGAGTTAATAAAAAAAAATTAATATATTCAATATTTAATAGTTGACCGATGCATTATAAAGGAAGGAGATGTTCCGGAGTGGCGGTCATGAATAGGCTAAATAGTGATAAAACTATTTTATTAAAAGCCAACGTTTCGACCCGACTTTGCAGGTCTTCTTCAGGCCAAGAACGGGCAAGATACAACATAATTTTATTTACTTATTTATTTATTTTTTGGTTTCCTTTTTTCTTTTCTTTCTCCACATTCCTTTATGTCTATTATTTCATAGGTCTGTAGAAGTATATTCACATTTTCATAAATTATATATTACACTACAACTAAGAGAAATAATAGACTGTAGCTAAATGAAATTGAAGTAAATAAAACACATTCAAGACTATATACAATATTTACATTCACCCGGGAGACTCTGAATCATGCTTTGTCTCCCAAATGTGGAAGCCAAGGCAGGACTCCAGGAGATCCCAGTGCTTTTCTTCCAGCAGCGTCACTGGTATTGGAAACCAATGGAAACTGATGGAGGGCACTACAGCAACAGACGAACAGGACCTGGGTGGAGAATCTGACCATTGCCAGAACTCCAATATGTAAATATTTACAGAAAGTCGCGAGGTCACTTCCGTTTTAACCTCCGGGGAGGATTGTAGAGATGGCTGGAGCTCGATAGGCATTATGCAAGGATTTGGATGATGAGTGAGGTTCTGGTGAAATCTGGAAAACTTGTCTGGGATTAGGTCAAGAACAAAAAAGGGGGGCGGGGTGGCCGAATAGGCTAAAGCGTGTGTAACAGCACCGCTAGTTGCCTGGCAAGGTCAAGAACAAATGGGATATGAAGGTTATTATAGAGGATTTTATTGGATACATAGAAGGGAGCATCGACTATTGATCGGAGGACTTTAGACTGAAAGGATTGAATGTTAGAAAGTTTTGATATAAACATAATTCAAACGGTCAACAGCGTTTGATGTTAGAAAGTTTTGCTTTCCCCCACAGTCCTATTCCTTAGGTACAGATAGGTTTCAGGATTGACTTGTAGATTAGTAATTTTTTGTCCATAGAAAGTTGAAATTTTCTATTCAATAGCCTATATAGCTGCCCGTATAGTCCATTAAGTTGTTGCCTTTTAAGTCTGGTATGTGGGTTCCATGTTAGTATTTTATCCAAGAGAAGGCCAAGATACCAGACTGAGGAAGTGGTATGGAGTTGAAGTAGACTGGTGGACAGGAATTGCGTCGAAGTATAAAAGCAATACGTTTGGATTTAGATTCTTTTACTTGGATTCGCCACTTTTTACACCAGTGTTTAATAAGAGAGAGGTGACTTTGTAGGTTTAAGGATGCTGTTTCAGGATCTGGATTGGAAGATAAGATGTCTGTGTCATCAGCGAATGTTGCCAGGAGGGTTTCGGGATGAGTAGGAATATCAGCCGTAAACATTAGGTAGATTACGGGATCCAAGACGCTGAGTTGAGGAACTCCAGCCCGATTGAATGACAGTTGGAGGATACTGTATCACAGAGATGTAGGATCGGAGCACTAGATATAAGGACTGAGGTAGATGGGATTTGAGTTCCGGCGTGCTATACCCGGTGAAAAGCTTGCGCGATGTCCAGAAATGCTCCCAAGCAATGCTAATATTAGAGATAGATTGGTTTGGAGGATAATACGCTGATGCAAGGGTAATAGGAAACGAGAAGGTTTTTATTATAATATCAGTGGATTGAAGAAATGGTGAGTAGTTAATGGGAATTGGTGATGAGAGAGGGATTGGTGTACAACGATTGCAGTACCGGTGTGTGTTCTACTGTCCGGATAGTCAGTACGATATGTTGAGTACAGAGGTATTTTTAAAATTTGTTTTTTGGTCAGTATAGTTTCTGTAATTATGGAAATATTCTTGTCTAGTAGTAAAACTGTTAGTATATATCACAATTATTAGTGTTCAACTTATATTCTATTTGTGTTAAAGATGACATTTTGTAGTCTGCAGCTGATGTAGGTAGTCTGCTACTACGAGAAATAGCAGAGGGCAAAACATTATGAATTTATACTAATAAATCATAAAGAAATAATTAGTTTTTTTTTGCTCTCCTGTAAAACACTCAATATTTACATACCTTTTGCACTAACAGTAATGATAAGCATGCTCAGTATGCACAAATATTTTTTCTAATCACGAATCGTCAAATATCTAATTTTCAACTGCGGAACTCTTTCGCATTTTAGTATTCGTTGATGAACAAAACTCGTGGATATCAAACCCGTATATGTTGAAGGATTACTGAATCCAGCAATTACCCAAAACGGCTTCTCCCAGATATTTATTCTCAGACGAAAAATTTTTGTCTTTTTAATATACATATTATTTAGCTAATTAAAACGGTGAGGAAACTATACTAATCATACTTGTCAGACGTTTTTAAAAGTCATTTAACTTTGAGCTGAATTTACTCAAAATATGCATACATACACTAGAATTTAAATTGGTTTCCCTATCTTTTATATGCCATTCAATTGTATTTGTCTTAACAGCCCGTAAGATGGCTTTTTATATATTAGCACGTGAACATATAGGTTATATATTTACAGTTATAGGATACATACTTGATAGTCCAAACAAGATGACATCTACATATCGTCAACAACAATTTAAAACTGTTAAGTACACAATGTTTTTACTTAAGGTTATTTTACTTTTTTACTAAATGTTATGAACAACAATTGATTGTTATTATTTTTTTTTTTTTTTTTTGCTCGTTAGAATATCATCGGGTCATTGCAAAAAATCATTAGGTGATATTTTGTAACCTCAAATAATTCATAACTTTGATCAATTTTCCATATGTGAAATTAGAAAATTATGCCGAGAAGATACAGTAGTGTTGTAAAAACAAGCCTCGAGTTCCGGCTCGTGAAGGCTCAAGAACCTTTGGACCTCGAACCTCCAAGGCTCGAGCTGAAGGCTCACATGGTTCAAGCCTTGATGAATTAATCTTTAAAAAATTAAGAGTAAATTATTGTACATTATCGTAAACATATATTTTTTTAAATATAATGTAAATAAATAGATAGGAAAAAAGTAAGGTTCCAGCTGCTACTCGAGTCTTTAATACTGAGTTCTTAAGACTCGAGACTTGGCCAATTCGAGAAAACTGAAACCTTTTCGACTCAGCTTTTAAGCGCCTCTTACATAGTAAATATTATTGAGTCAATATTGAATTTCGCCAATATTTCGACCGTGTAAGGGCTACATTGGCATAAATCGAACTGGTTGATATTAATTTCATTTTATTTTTATTGAACCTCCTCAATATTATTGAAAGAGTGTCAGTATAATTGCAGGCGTAATGGATTATATTGAGCAATATTAAACCATCTTTGTTTCGGTTGGCTCTACAGATCTTGTAGATCTTTGGACACCTGAACCAGCCTTCTCCACCTTTGCCTATCTTGGGCTACTGCTTTCCAGTTTGCGGCATGAAGCTCAGCCGTATCTTTGTTTATCCTATCTATCCATCTGGTTTTTGGCCTCCCATCTGGTCTCTTGCCTACTACTCTGGCATTCAACAAGGTTCTGGTCCCATATAGGTCCTGTTATCCTACGTAGAACTTTTCGTTCGAATCTCTCAATTCTAGCTTCTAGTGTGCCGGTTAAAGCCCAGACCTCACAACCGTACAGCAGAACTAGCTTAATCAGGGCGTTGTACACCCTTATTTTAAGATTTCTGGATTTCAGTACCCTTGAAAGAGAGAAGAAAGATCTATTCGCACTTGTTATTAATCTATCATGTAACTAACACTACTATCATGTATTTTGTTTTATCTACATTGGCCTGTAGTCCGATTTGCTCTGCATCTTTTAAGAGAGTCCGAGCGAGTCTTTCAATATCCTCTTGATTACTTCCGAGGACTTGGTTTTTTGGGACTTGGTTATTTGGACTCAGGGAACCTCAAAACGTGTATTTCCGCTGAAAACTCAGACTCAAACATATTCACGATCGCAATACTTACACATACTATATATTACATATATAGGTAAGTGAAAGTAAAAATGTGCAATTTTCACCTAGCGGCATTACAGTTGTCTGGGTCTCCGCTCTATTATATTATCTGTGCGGGAGTTGCAACTCTTTCGAGTTGTTGTTAATTGACAAGCATAGTTTTATTTTTCGTTTATAAAACTTAACGTTTTTTTTCTTTAGTCTGAAATTAATTTTTCTGCAGCTGCATTTCTCATTTTTGTATCAGGGTATTTTTCTTTTGTATTTTTTTAAAATATTATTACTCATAGCTTTTGTATTTTTCCCAAAAAATTAAATTGTATATATCAATTGTTAATGGTGTATTTATTTAGTGAACCTACCAGAATCCCTTAATGTGATGACCCCTTGTTATTTTAGTTTTTAGAGGATTCTTAGGTTTTAAACATTATAGTCCGGGACCCTCCGAAGATTTAACCACGTAATCAGCGGCAGAAGGTTTGAAAATTTAAAACATTAGAGATGACAACCCAAATGCCAAAACTCCTCGGGTCCGACGGCAAACTGGTTTGCTAGTTGTTGCAAGAGTTTGGCTATGGTAGAATATCAAAAATCTCAAAAACTGCAAAAATTATGTGATCAGCATCAGGAAAAGGACCTACTGAAATAGTTTCATACAATTCTGTAGATGACAGATTAAATAAAGTCAGACAATATTTTGGGAGCTTTGTACGAATCTGACAGCTTTAAAAATCTCAAAAAGTCCCCAAAATTACGTGGTAGGAAAAATATGTTATAATACTTTCAGAGCACATTAATTTTATTATTGTTATTTTATAAAATTTGAATATTTTTTTAAGCCTTTCACGAATCGGACATGCAAATTTGAAAAAAATACTAAAAAATATGCGATCAGCATCAGGAAAAAACAGTTTGAATAGTTTTATACCACTTAAGGTTAAAGTAGGTAATTAATTTGATAAAATCTGACAACATTTCGGAAACTTCACGAATTTGAGAATCAAATAGTTTCAGTCTCCTTTGTAGGAATCTGATTTAATAAAATCTGACCTATATTTAGGAACTTTTCGAGATGGTAGCAATTATTACTTGCGGGGCGACATGACAAAAATTGGAATCCGTTGGTCCAAGAGTTTTTCCTGTTGCCTATTTTAATCTATCTATTAAGTTTATCAAAAAGATTGGTCAATCTGATCAAAAAAGTGCAAACAATCCAAAATTGTGTAAAGGACATACAAAAACAATGTTATCATTTAACCATTAACCGTGTTATGTGTTAAGACAATGTATTTTTTGTTTGTTTTACATTTCATAAAATACCGGTTATCTTTTTATATATATGGTAGAATAGAATAGAATTGAATTTATTTGTTAAAGATTATTTTACAATCTTGTACAAATGATACATATATGAATAACTTCATTTCACCTACGTGAGTCTAGTTTATCCTAACTGTACATTGACTTATTATAAAAACAATAACTAAACAATAATACTTTATTATATTCCAATTAATTGCTATCTACATTATCAATAAAACCAAAACAGAAAAAAGAAAAAAACAATTAATTGAACTGACCAACAATTATCCTTAGTCATAGCACTTGGTTGGTGTGTGGAACATCAGAGCTTAAGGAATCCAGTGAATTGCACACTGACATTATGAACCAGTAAATTTTATTAAGTTTCTCTATGCTATCGATTCGAAGTATGTCTTGTATCTTGTTTACATCACTTGGCGCAGAGAGAAATGCTCATAAATGTTTTTGTCTGTTGTCTGTTAGCTTTTCACAGTACAGAAGGATATGGAACAGGCTGTTAGTAATGAATTGGTTACAGAAAGTGCAGGATTCCTGGGCTTTGAAGTAGAAACTTTTGTTTTTCGTATAGAGCTTAATTAATTCGGGATTTGAAACCCTTAACTGACTTATGGATCTTAGCTTTTTCATGTTAGCTCTATACAACAAATATGACTCTGGGTTGGAAACATTGAAGCTGGAAATAGTTCTATATATGGGATTATTGTTGGAATTTATCGATAAATGGATGTCCTTAGATAGGTTATGGTTTTTTAGCTTTTCCAATATTTCATCGCTGTATTTTAATAATCCAGTTGGGTATACTTTATCGAACTCTTCTTTACAGCCATAATGAGCAACTATTGATCTGACTTGTGTGATCCAATTAAAGTTTATATCAGGAATCCTTGTATCCAGCAAAATTAATTTGTTGAAGCAAAGCCTTGGTAACCTCTCTTCAAGCATAAGCGACAATTTAGACCAGTAATTTATGATCCTTCTCATAACCCTGACACTCAAGGCGTTTCGGCCAGTTTCTAGACGTACAATATAGTTGGCAGTATTCCTTGGCCACCTAAATAGTTGCTTCAGAAACTTCACCTATACCACTTCAATAGCATCCAGGTATCTTAAGCTCCATATTTCAGAAGAATACAGAAGGTATTTACATATATGGTATAGTTATCTATATCGATTCACAAGAAACATCTAAAGAAATGAGTTTATATGTACGCGATCACGCTTGTAAGTTAACATAACATTATGTACTCTATGGTGAATAAAATATTCAATAAAAAAACAAAAGAGGTGACGTTTATATTAACAAAAGAGACACTTATTATTTCTATTACATTTAAAATTTATTACTAATTCGTTATAAAAAAAAAAAATCTCAGTAATCGTACCTAAACAGAAACAAATTATGAACAGTGTATATTCAATACAATTTACTACACTAATATGTTAAATATACGATGTAAGGTATTTCTTCATGAAAAAAAATGCCCTGGGTTAGGCCATATTTATGCATTGGATATTTTAGCAACCTTTTTGTCCTTAAAGAATGAAGGTATATTTTTCAAGTTCTGATATATTTTCTTCTGGAATCTTTTCAAATAAGCCGAGTTTCGAAAACATTTCTCTAAATCTTTAGTTTTTTCATAAACTATAGTGGTCTTATCTTTCCTGTACGTCCAGAGGCAGATGTAAAATCAGATCATGTCTAAAGATGAAAAGCTGGCAAGCCTTTGGCTAAATCGGTACCATTTCCTTATTGAGATACGTGGATTCCATCTCAGTTTCTATGGTCATGCATACATCTTTTAAAGAATAGCAGGATTTCTCATAAGGTAACACAGAATGAAATTAAGGTAAATTCTGTTCTAAAACGTACTATTAAAAAAAAAGGAAACTCGTTCAAAATTCAATTAATTGTGATGGTAATGGTATTCATGTTTTAACCATATTTGATCAATGTTAACCGTATTGGTACTAATACTAATATTCTAACTTATTATTCCAATGTTCTTTTTAAATCATATCTTAAATAATTTATACAAACAAATGAAATTAATATGGATAATTAGTGACAAGTTTTATGGTAGCCTCATTATTTTCGAAATGTCCGCCACTGAAGAAGTATAATAAGATGGAATTAAATGGTCCATTCCAGAAGATTTGAATTTCTCCAAATCACTATATCTGTGAACTCCTGTTTCAACTAGTAATGTAATCATGCCTCTTTGGTTCCCAAAGTGAATGTCAGTGCTACATCTACAACAAAATTTATGCATGCAAGATAAAATAATGCGAAAATTAAAAATTTTAAAATAAAATATAGCTTTGAAACAAAAAACTGTCACAGTATAATGAAGAGTTAAACGATTAAATGATACCTGATATGTATTTAATAAATTTAATGCATTCAATTTGAGAATACTAAATGCATTCATAAACATCACTTCAGTAAAAAACATAAATCATAGTCTACGAATTTCCAAAATTAATTAAAATATTTGTTTTATTTTTCTTTACTGTTTAATCGTTACTATATCGTTACAATACTAATTATTGTTACAAATCACTATAAAACTAGTCTTAAAGAGCAATTATTCTATAATTAATTATATAATAGATAGGCCAGAAAATTGTTTGCTCAATACATTATTATTATACATTTTAATAATTATAAAGGTCAAAATGAGATGTAGATATTGCGCACAGCTATAACCCCTCCAAATCGAATTAGAGGTTTGAAAATTTATAAGCAATTTATTTTATTATTATAATATATTGAATAAGATAAACAATAACTAAATTTTAAAGATAATAACCTCAATCAAGATTACAATACTTTTCCTCACTATAAATATGTAAGAGAATGTAAAAAGTTTTCTTTCAAGTTTATATTTTTATATCAATCTCCCTCCAACGTACGCCACTCTAATCTATCTTAAAATATCTGATTGAAGATACTTTCAAGTACTTAGGGACCCCAGAACAGAGGCAAGTTAAGAAATAAAGATGGAGAACATGATGCAAGTTAAGCAATCAAAATTTTTGGGAAGGATTAATTTTTAATGGTTCATGAATTTTGAGGGAGACACATTTTTATAGAGTTTCGAATTTTTCGAGGGAACCATATCTTTATGAGATTTCAGTATGAAGAATTTTCGACCCAGCAAAAAAATTATAATAATAACCTACAATTTTTACCATTCTACTTTTACTTGCACTATTTTTAAGAAAATTAGAGCAAAAACAAATTCTTGAACGGGGAGGACATATATCACCATTGGAGGATAGGCACTATCATCGAGAATGTTTTAATGACTAAAATAAATAAACCATTCTTCTTTATGAACATTGGAATGTTCAACAGATTGTTTAATAAAATGTCCTAATGAAATTCAGTAATACCATGAACGGTATTGAATATGTATTGAGTATAATATAAAAAGTATTGAATGATGAGAAGGATCGGAAATCACCATTGTAGTTTATACAAGCAGCTTTAACACAAAAAATATAAATATTGATACAGGGGGTCGTTCCCTTATCCACTCCTACAATAGGATCGTGTTTGAGGTTTATACTGCATTTTTTTTCCTTTATTTATTTAGAAATATAACATTCTGTCACGTGGACAATAATTATAGTGATATACGATATAACACATTCATACCAAACATACAGAAAATATAAAATTAACAAAAGTAAAATAATAATCAGAAACTATGTACAATAAAAAATAAAATAACCTAAAGATAAGTAAATTAAAAACACAAAACACAGTCATACCTAAATACAATCAGGCAGGGAACCCCAAGCCAGGCTTTTATAGAAGGAAAAACAGGACTTCAAGAGATCCCTGCGCTACTCTCTCAACCGCGTCACTGCTGCTAAAGCCACTGGAGTTTGAGCGAGAGCGCTTTAACCACATACACTCATGTCTTGAGTGGAAAATCTGGCCAATGCCAGAACTCCAACATATGTATTACAATAGATCTCTGGGCCACTGCCGCTTCAACTTTCGAGGATGATTATAGGAATAAGTGGAACTATATAGGGATTGTGCTAGGGAATTCGGATGAATTACAAGGTTCTGATGGAATTTAGAAAAATTTTCAGGGATAAGGTCGAGGATAAATGGGATATCAAGGTCATGGTGTAGGGTTTTGTTGGTAACATAGATCGGAGCATTGACTATTGTTCGGAGGATTTTGGACTGAAAGGATTGGATGCGTTTGATGTTAGAAAATTTAGCTGTCCCCCAAAGTTCAAGTCCGTAGGTCCAAATAGCTTTCAAGATTGTCTTGTATATCAGTAATTTTTTGTCAATTGAAAGTTGAGATTTGCTATTCAGTAGTCTGTATAATTTGCCGTATCGTCTGTTACGTTCTTGTCTTTCAAGTCTAGTATGTGCGTTCCACGTTAGTCTTCGGTCTAAGAGAAAGCCATGATACCGGACTGTGCCTGAAATAGGAACCTGGGTGGAATTAAAGTGGACTGGTGGACAGGATCTGCGCCGGAGGGTGAAGGTTATGTGTTTGCATTTAGATTAGTTGATGCGCCATTTGTTGCACCAGTGCTCAATCAGAGAGAGGTGTCTTTGCAGATTCGAAGATGTTATTTTGGGATCTGAGTTGGATAATAAGATGGCGGTGTCATCAGCAAATGTTACCAGAAAGGTATCGGGATGGACATGGATATCGGCGGTAAAAAGGATATAAAGGACGGGGCCCTAGACGCTACCTTGAGGAACACCGGCTTCAACTGGGTAGGAATTTACTGCAAATTTAACGCTAAACTAACTAATTCTATGAAAAGGGTCACCAAATGAAGTGAAGTTACTTATATTCAATTATTTCCCGTTTGGCATTAGATTAATTTGTTATATTGATCTTTGAATACCAAAAATTCATTTGAGAAGCATATTTAACCATTGCAGCATTGCATTGGTTGATTTCAACATATAAATTCTAACAGGATCAGTGTACATTTAGAAAAATTAAATAAAATATGAATTCGAAAATAACTGTTAAACAGAGTGTCCCTCTCTCCTCCACCTCTCCCCCTAACGGCAATACACAAAAAAAGGCCTTGAGTATTGAATAGAAAATATAACATTGGCGAAAATGTTTTTATAAACATAGGTTATCTATTGACGACAATCGGTTTTCAGACCAGAAACCTAAAAATGTATTCTTTTTCTATACTTCCCACACAAATCAGCATAAAAAATGGAATGAAACTAACATCATTGTTAATTAGACTTGTTGTCAAATGAAACCGACAGGAAATCCATAGATATAACATTTTTTCTGTTTTCCTCGCAAGTCCGGAGAATTCTAAAACACGTAAATATAAATAAACACTATTGTTATCAATATTTATTCATTAGAAAAAAAAGGACCAGTTTTAATTTGAAATTAAGGTAACTTTTTGTAATTAAAATATATCAAAATCACAAACAATATTATAATAATGTCATCCCGAAATGTCATAAAAAAAAGAGAAAAATTTGTTTGGAGCATAAACTGTTACTTAATTTTATTCATATAACTCAGATAAACAAACATTTCTCTTAGGACTTATGAACAAAATATTATTTTATTTATTGTATCTCCTTTCCCAGTCTTTCAGCTACATGGATTTTGAGACAAAATCAACAAACCATAATAAAAAATGATAAAGCACATCACTAGCGGATCCAGGATTTAATTTTTTGGGGGCTTCAGCCCGAAATCTTTTGTTTCATAAAAATAACGATAATTACTTTAGAAAAAAAGAAAGAAACTAACTACCTATATGAAATGGTGTTTAAGTGATTCCCATAGCGCTTTTAAATGTAATTACACGAACAATAATACTTTAAGAGATAATTTTTTAATATTTTTTCGATAAAACATGGTAATATTTTACCATTTTTGGGGGGATTCAGCTCGGAAGTAACCCCCCCCCCTCCGTAAATCCGCCCGTGAAGCACATATTCCATGGTACAGACCACTTTTTATCATATCATTAGGATCAACTTGTAACTTTGTGAATGGCTTCATCTTATGTTAATCTTCAATTTTTTCATCAACTAAAATCATAGAAATGGGGCGTTTTCTCATTAAATTAATTAATTTTATAGGGTACTAAAAAATCATAAATTCTATTGACTTTCCACTTGAATCGTAAAATAATTTGATCCTAAATCAAAAAAAAGGTGGCCTAAAAAAATATTAGGCCGACTAGTCATATTTGACTTGACATATTTGCGGTGGGGGTCAAATGACAAGATATATTTGTATTTCACTTTTTTGCTCTACTTCAATTAGGCACGATATCTGAATCAGAAACGATAAATAACTGACGATTCGAGTGGAAAGAAAATGGTTGTTCATGAGTTTTTATTATATAATTAAATAAACAAAGTTTGCCGATCTCCAGATTGAAAAGTCCCAATTTCGAGATTCCTCGTAAATAAAAACGTTGTGGATTACGATTAGATAAAGCCGTTCACGAAGTTTCAGGCGGATGTTAATAATTTGATAAAAAGGAGTCTGTGCCACGGACTAATGCGAGTTAATGTTGCCAATCATTTTCTTCAAGGCATGCAAGCCTCTCTCCACTGTCTTCAGGGTGACTTCCATTGGCGATATCTCTTTCCGGTGGTCTACCAGGAGTTTGGCTTACTCGATACAAATGTGCCATCTCTAAAAATTCATAATCCCTAAAAATGTGTCCTCTGAATTTTAAAAATTTGTATGATTTTTTCCCTCTTCTTTAACACTTAAATTTATTGAATGCTTTCTCAAATGATTTTATAAGAGATTTCAGGATTGATTCTGATGGGTATAAAATTGATAAAAGCTATCAAGTTTTACATTGTATATGAAAAAGTATGAACAACGATGGTACTTACAAGACCGTACCTTCTGGAGGAATATGTTAGATATTTCAACTTTAATCACTCTTTTTTGCTAACTCATCGTAAACTATATCGGATAAAATAAAAATGTTTACCTGTCACCTATCATAAGACAACGCTTTGGATCTATGCCACTTGGAATGAGGACATGATCTATGGCAAATGGAGATGGCTTGCCAATTACCTCTGCTTTCCTATCAGAGCATACTTCCACTGCCGCTACCAATGCTCCAGAACCTTTAAAATAATTTAATTGCTTCAGTATTCCTAGTCACTTGCAAAAAGCGTACAATCATTATCTAATAATTTTGAAATTAATTTCTGACAAGAACATTGAAATAGCTTCAAAAATATTTAAAAAATTTTAATATGTTGTTAATAGCAACTGCCACAGATCGGTTCAATAATTTATCATGTTGGGTATACTGAAACACTTTCTAATACAAGCCCTTTCGATCTACGCAGAAGACTATTGGGGCACTGGGTTGAGCTTTTTATTGTGTTATTTTACTTTCTTACTTTTCTTTTCATTTCTTTTATTATTTTGGTTTTATTTATTTTGTTTTTATTTTCTCCTTTACCAGTTTAGATTCCGTAGATCCCTTTCCACTATCATGCAGTTCCATCGAGTGGTGGATGTTGTCTCCTCTACATCGGAGAACGGAATAGACCTCAGATTATCCCGAAAATTCCCTCAAGACCTAGATAATGCAGCGAGTACCTTCACCACCTTGATCCAACAAGCAGTCTGGACTGCATCCTCACCACTCCCCTCCAAAGAAACTCTTAAAAAGAATCCTTTACCCCAAAACCTTGCTGACATCCAAACGTCAATCTAGGACCCTCTGGAAAATTACTAACAAGATCCTTAAACACCATTCGATTTCCCACCCCCTTCGATGCCATCATGGAACCTGGGCTTCGTCAGATGAGACTAGAGCTGAAGAATTTGCCAAAAACCTATCCAACACATTCACTCCCTACTCTGAACTCCACCCCACCCACATTGCTAAAGCTAAAAAAATCCTTTCTTCTCTCCTTGCAGTAGCAGTCAACCCCTCTGAGATCAAATTCCTTATAAACAATCTAAAGCCTCGGAAATGCCCCTGGATTCGATCTCCTTATTTCTCAGATCCTTAGACAACTTCCCAATAAAGCGATCATGTCCCTCACATACCTATACAACTGTATACTCCGTACAACTCATTTTCCTCTGATATGGAAACACTCCATAATCATCCTCTTCCCTAAACCAGGTAAACCTGTCAATAATACCTCATCTTATAGACTAATAAGCTAGCAACATTTGCTGATGATTCCAGGCTATGAAACAGCATCCCTACAAAGCAATATGCCTTTATATGCCTTATATCTGAAAATCAAGTGATATGCCACAATAGCCGATTGGAAGTTGTTTATTTAACAGAGTAAGGTAAAAAAAAATAGGTCTGCACCAAGAACTATAATAAAAGGCATCTGTTTAAATTAAAGTTCCAAGAACTCTACCTGGAACTGTAATACCTGCTCCAAAATGAATTTTTCCATCTTTGTTTGTAGCAAGAAACAAGCATTCGGGGTCATTCAAGTAACAGTTAGCCTTTGCAACCTTTGGATAGCTGAAGAAGAGATCATAGCCTACCACAACAGCTCCAACATCAGGAACTAACTCGATGTCGCTACTCTCTAAAGTGAAATTAGAAGAACCTCTAGCTTCATAATTATCAGGCTGAAATAGAAGTGAATTATGTACAAAAATATCAATCATAAATAATATATTCTAAAATATAATGAAATGTTTTTTGTTTATTTTTGGAATTATTCCATAATTCTTATTTCTTTAATGGACCACACCAATAATAACGAGTCAGCAATAAAAACAGGCTGCAGGTTTCTGTTGATAAATTTAGATATTATAATACAATAAGTAAATCTTTTACCGAAGGGTAAGTATTAAAAGTATTAACTTTAGTTATTTTTATCAAGAGTGAGTTTACTCAAACATGGTTGTACGAGATTCCAGTAAAACCAAGTTTTTTAACTCTTCTTACTCAATATGTATTATGTGAAATTATCATTATCTATAAAATAATTGAGTAACAAACTGAGTTCTCGGAATATATATAAATATTTAATGATCTTTCAGTTTAATGAAAATATTATTTGAGAAAAAAAAGGAATACCAAAAAAAAATAAAGAATGGGCATGTTGATTTCACTGATGGAATTCCCAACTCTTTATCCATTCGTAAACTCCGATTTCGATTTCACCATCACTACCTTTGTTCTTCCTAGTGAAGCATTCGATCCTAAACACTAGAGTTTCGGAGCTCGAACTGAAACAAAACAGATTCGAACAGCAGAACTTGGTCAGAACCGTGGAGATCAGAGGTATTCTGGTGAGACTCCAATGGACCTGGTAATGAGTGTCGGCGCAGCACTGGGGCTCAGCCTGGAGGTGGAAGATGTGGACAACGTAGAAAGGCTCAGGACTCGGCAGGATGATACACCCGGCCCACTATCAGCCAGATTTCTACCGCAGTCTTTGAAAGACGATTTGATTTTTAAACGAAAAGTAATTAGAGACTTTTCCACTCGTCACTTGGTCTGGTAGGAGAACGATACCCATAGAATCTTTGTCGGTGAAGCTATGATAAGAGACGGATACAGAGATCTGCAAGAGGCAGAACAACTATAAAGCTCGTAAAGTAAACAGATAACTACTTACACCAGCACCGAAGTTTTCAATTTCAAATTTATCCAACTCTTCTTTGATAGAGGTTCCACCAACAACATATACTTTCTTGTTGAAATTAATATTTTTCAAATATTTTGCAGTAAGCCAGGCAGTTGAAAGAATTTCTTCCTGAAAAGTACATCATGCTATCGATGATTATATAGTGAATTTGATGATCTACAACTTCTATTATATTTAGTTTTTTCTCTTAGGAAACTCATTATCAAGCTGCTGGACCATTTATCGTAATCTGTTTTAGTTTTTGACAAATTTGGTAAAAATCAGCATTGGTTTACAGTGGTTGTCGATCATACCACTTAACCAAATTATGAAATTCAGGTACTGGTTTGACGTACAATTTAATCTCCTGATTTCTTAACGAGTTCGTCTTCCGCTTCGATACACCGTTTAGGAATTATAGATGAAAAAAAAAAAGTCTGGCTACTTTGGCTGTAAAAATCTTCCCATCCGTGTTAGCATTTTTGTTTTTACATGTTTAAACCCATATATACAAATTAAAAAAATAAAAAACTTTTCAACTTTTTTTTGCAAAAACAATTACCGTTTCGATCTTCAAATTACTGGTCTAATATCCTTTAAATCAGTCATAATTTTTTTATGTGGGATGATCCGACTCGTATTTTAGGCTACATAGGGTTTTTCCAGTGCCGGGGAAGAGGTCGGGGGAATTATGCCGAGGTAAAAGTTCCAACGGACACCGGGATTTGAACATGTAATTATTTTTCTAACTCATACTTCGGTTATCAGGTTGCCCGACACCCAGTGCTGTGCATACGCGTTTGTCCGCTCGGCGGGGTCCTCCTATGTACCTAATTCAATTGCTTCATTAATAGGCTAAAGTTAATTACTGTCAAACGCATTGTAATTATTTTTTTTTTTTTGCACTGCTAACAGGTAGTAGGCGCCCTAGTCCCAGTTCCAAGTCGACACCACCAGGCCATTGCCCGGATTGCCTAGCTCAAAAGCCGACACTGCTAAACCATGTAATCATGTTCAATTTAAACTGTCCATGCTAGCATCTATAACAATTATTGACTTCGTTAATGGAACGATGATACTTAAAATCTGACTTTAAATTAGAGTAATTATAATTTATTGCTTTTAGTCAGTAGCAAGTGTCATGGCCGCTAGTGCAATTCAAGTTACACGTCGCTCTGCCTTTGATACGATCTAATGTGCTTATTATTTAAAATACTGCTCTAAGACTTTTTCAACAGTGACTATATTAATAGTTTTATATTTTTATATTCACATAATATCAGGTGAGTGACTATTTATTAACAATGAAACAGTTATAAATTAGTGCTCGTTTGGTTAGCCCATGTGGCTAGTAATTCCCTTGCGAGTTTTACCTTATCTGCGATAAGTTCAAGCCAAGGCTCGGCACTGTGTACAATAACATTCTTCAGTGTTATTCTCAGTTCGAATCCAATACATTTAACTTCATTTTTTTTTCTTTATATTTTCTTTTTTTTTTCTTTCCGGAGACTCTTTTATTTCATTTTTTTCTTTGATTATTTATTTTTTGGAAATGAATTATTTTATATTTTATTTTATATCTGTATATATTTATGTAAATAGCTTAGTGTTTAAGAAGTTATCTCATAAATTTTAATTTTAATATTTAGGTTTATATATATATATATATATATATATATATATATATACATATATATATTTTTTTTCTTTTTCTTAATTTTCTCTAACACTTATCATGATGGATCTGGATAAGAACACACCATGTGAAGACACGGAGGATGAGACACCCTTTTCGGAAATTAGCGAGACCGACTCGCAATATTTGAAAAGGCGTATCCAAAGGCGTCTCCGAAACTCAGTTCCCGGATCGGGACAAAACTCACCTAATAAAAAAAAAAAAAGAAAAATAAATCAAATAAGCAGCCAGAACAAGATAAATCTCCACCGAGAACTAGGATCAAATCTAATGCCACTCAATCAGAGCCAACTGCACCAAAAACATCAGAAAGCAAAAACTCAATTCAAGAAAACAACTTATCTCACAAGACTCCGCAGCTTCAAGATTTTTCTGATCCTGAGCCGCCGCCAATATTTGTTTCGAAAATTAAGAACTTTATGTCGTTTGGTCAACAAATTGCAGATTTGATCGGACAGCCAACTTTTCGATGTTACTCGAGAGTGAACGACATCAAAATTAATACTAATTCTAGAGACAATTATAAAAAACTAATCAATTTTTTAACAGCCAATAACTACGACTTCCACTGTTACCAATTAAAACAAGAAAAGGCGTATCGAGTGGTCCTGAGAGGACTACATTCAACCATACCCATATCTGCTATCAAATCGGGCCTCGAAGTAATCGGTCATAATGTCAGGCACATAGCACCTGTACTACATCCTAGAGAAAAATATCCGCTACCATTATTTTTTATAGACTTTGAACCAGCAAAAACCAATGTTGAAATATTCCAGGTTCAACGATTGGTTTACTCAATAGTCCGTTTTGAGGAACCGAAACAGAAGCCTCTAATTGTACAATGCACTAAGTGTCAAAACTTGGGCCATACAAAGGCCTATTGTTATCACGAAGTCAGATGCGTTAAATGTGCCGGCCTACACGCTTCAGACACTTGCCACAAGACAAGAGATGAGCCTGCGATGTGTGCTCTTTGTGGCGAAGCCCATCCTACGAGCTACAGAGGATGTGAAGTGTATAAAAATCTTTACAAACAAAGATCACGAAACTCAGCGGTGAAAAATCTTGGATCTGCTCAGAAAACTTACACTGAGCCACCTAAAATTGAAAATCAGGAAATTTTCCCAGCATTGCCGACTTCACCTTCCCTCGTCATCCAACAACAACCATCCATCTCTACAGCTAAGGACTCACCTCACCAGAATCTCAGAAATTCTCACTCCCAGTCTTCCATCAGTAAGAAGCAACCTCAACGTCAGGCGCCTCAGGCCTTCCAATCCAAGTCCAAAATCCCTAATACTCAGCCTCAACCTCCTCGCCAGCAAATCCCTCCTCATCATTTACCCTTAAGAGTCAAACTCCCGCCAGAGCATCCACATCCAGCTCCATTCGTTCCTAATCCCAGGATGAACCCCCCTCCACAAGTCCAACAGAATTTAGATCCTCCTGCTCCTCGTACCCCACGACGGGCCCATCCCCCACCCAACATTCCTAGTCGCATAACCTACCCATCACAACATCCTGATCCAAACCCACTTCCCAGCCAAACACCATCCGACATCAACACTATCTTATCGTCATTCCTGATAGATCTTCAACAGACTATCAAACCGCTCATAACCCTTCTAACCAGACTCCTTTCCGAAATCCCGCTTAGCTTCCCTCGATGAACTCAAAGTCCCTTGCTATTCTCTTATGGAACGCTAATGGACTGCAAAACCACCGTGACGAACTAGACATATTTCTCCATGACAATTATATTGACATTGCCCTCCTAACAGAAACTCACTTCACCCAACGGACACATTTCTACATACGTGACTACATCACCTATAGATCTGACCACCCAGACAACACTGCCCACGCCGGTTCTTGCATCCTTATCCACAAATCTTTACCCCATTCCCTTATTCCTTCTATTCCAACAGATGTCATTCAGTCAACTTCTGTAATCCTTTCAACTCGTCCTTTCCATCTAACACTTTCAGCTGTATACTGTCCTCCTGGCAATTCCCTCTCGTACAGCCTACTTGAATCCTTTTTACAATCCCTCGGATCGCGCTTTATTGCTGGAGGAGACTACAATGCTAAACACCAACGATGGGGTTGTCGATCATCCAACTCCCGTGTTAATACCTTTTCACATGTTTCTTCTTCCAACAATTATTCCATCCTCTCGCCCATGAATCCTACTTATTTTCCAACATCCCTCAAAAAACGTCCCGATATCCTGGACATATTCATCACCTCCCAGATTTCCTCTTCCCAAACTATAATCAAATCCCTGGATGACCTTTCTTCAGACCATAGTCCAGTTCTGCTTTCACTACATTCTGACTTTGCTCCTAAACCATCACTTCCTAAACTGATCACTGGACGAGTAAACTGGGACAAATTTCGTGATGATTTGGAAAACAAACTAGACCTCAAAATCCCGCTAAAGACAAAAGAAGACATTAATGGTGCCATAGAAAAACTGACATCATCAATAACAGACAGTATAAATAATAACACCTTTATCAATAAGATTAACTTCCCACAAAATACTAACTTGTCACAGCATATTCGTATCTTATTACAGGAAAAACGCAGAGCAAGATCGAAGTGGCATAGGACTAGATAACCAACAGATAAATCGCATTACACTCAACTGACTAACAAACTGAAATCAGAATTTAGAAAGTACAAAATTCAAAATTTACTAAATTTTACTGAAAAACTTACAACCACTGACAAATCATTATGGATAACCACCAAAAAATTTCTTAAGTTTCAAGACTTTAATCACCCACTACTTACTGATTCCCAAACCTGGTCCAAATCCGACGAAGAAAAAGCCCAACTATTTGGTCAACATCGTTTCCAAACTTTTAATCCACATCCCGATATCCTTAATTCAACTCACATCAATTGTATTGAAGCAGAACTGGATATTCCTCTCCAAATGTCTAATGACCTAATTACATCCCAGATCCTAAAACTTCTTCCTCGAAAAGCCATCCTATTCCTTACTTACATATTTAATGCTGTACTCCGTTCTACATATTTTCCTGATCTTTGGAAACGATCTATTGTTAAAATGATCCACAAACCCAAAAAAAACACCAGAATACCCATCCTCTTACCGTCCTATCTCTCTTTTACCCATCATGGGCAAAATCCTAGAAAAACTCATCTTAAAACGCCTGTACCCTATCCTAAATTCTAAACACATAATCCCAGATCACCAATTTGGTTTCCGAAGTTCCCATTCCACTATACAGCAATGTCATCGTGTGGTAGACGTAGTCTCCTCTGCATTGGAGCGCGGAATGTACTGTACGGGAGTCTTTCTCGACGTTGAACAGGCGTTTGATAGAGTTTGGCACCCGGGACTGCTGTACAAACTCCGAAAATTCCTACCACCTACATACTTCCTCATTATCCGTTCCTACCTTACTGATAGATACTTTAAAGTAAATCACAATAACGCCTATTCATCCCTTTTTTCCCAGTCTGCTGGTGTTCCTCAAGGTAGTATCCTAGGTCCTATCCTCTATACAGTTTATACAGCTGACATCCCTACCTGTCCCAACACTGTCATCACCACATATGCCGATGACACATGTATCCTATCAGTAAACAATGACCCAGCAATTGCATCCCAAATGCTTCAATCACACATCATAAATCTAGAAGAATGGTGTCAAAACTGGAGAATTAAAATCCTTCGTCGTAAACCAACGACTTCCTGTCCTACAGTTTCCTTTAACAATACTCCACTTATCCCTGTTGAGCAAATCCGATACCTAGGACTCCACCTGGACAAACGACTAACTTGGAATCCTCATACTAAACTGAAACGAGAAGAAACCGTTCGACGTTTCCGATTACTTCAGCACTTACTAGACAAACGCTCTAAACTTCCCATTAATTACAAAAGACTTATATGCTTGACTATAATAAGACCTATTTGGACTTACAGAGTTGAGCTATGGGGCTCCACTAAACCATCGAATTCCTCTCTCATCCAATCCTTACAATCCAAAATCCTTCGTAAAATCCTCAATGCTCCTTACTTTGTCACTAATAAAATTATCCATAAAGATCTTAATGTTCCTTATGTTTCAGATCTGACCCAATCCAGATACCTATCCTTCCATAATAAACTTCAGAATCATCCCAACCCTCTCGTTTCTAACCTTGCTTCCTCTTCAATTCCTAATAACCCTCCGAGGCGTCTGAAAAGAAGATGGCCCCGTGATCTCCTAATGTAGTCATATCATTAGAGTGCTACCATTGGGTAGTTACTCAGCAAGTGTATTCATGTCATTATATCAATTATGTCCAAATTTACTTGATGTATTTATGTAATACAGTTTAAATGTCATAAAGAAATAAAAAAAAAATAAAATAAAAAAATTGTTTTTAGTCAATACTTAAACAAAGGAGAGACCTCTTTGGCATCAAATCCTAGGCTATTAAATTTATCTACAAATTGCTTTCTCGTCAACGCGCTGTTGTTGGTAAAATAAAATTTTTTTTTCCCCATGGAAACAAGATTTTTCAAAACTTCTTGAGCTCCAGGAACAGGTTTTCTACCATGCCATAACACACCTAAGAAATAATAGTATTAGTTGTAGCTGTTTAATAAAACTTCTGATAATAAACATTGATTCAAACAGAATATAAACAACAAATTCAGAATATACAATTAAATAAAACCTATACTACAACCCATGAAGGGTCTTGGGTTCAGCTAATTAAGGAAAGCACTGTTTCTTGGTCTAGGGTTGTGCAAGGATTACTTGAGTGATTTTGCAGAGATCACGCTCAACCGCTCACTACCTCTTAATTAATGTTTTTTTTTTAATTTTATCTTAACCCCAATAATATAATGCAAAAATGAGCAATTTATTTTACGATTAAGTTTTGTGTTGAACGCCTTTTACTGTAACTGTGGCCTACATTTTAAGGCCTGATTGAAATTGTCTTTATGGTTTGTTGTAACAATAATTGTGAAGTGTATCAGTAAAGGCGATGGGGCTCACCCATTTTATAAGGATCTTATTACTATATCTTAATAGCTAACTTACTATCTAAGATTGAACTAAGACTGAACTTTGCCACCGAACTGGAGCCGGTGCTGGAGTTAGTGTAGTTAATTGTTTTAATTAACGGTACCCACTTTATAGTGCCCCAGGAGGGTCTACCTGCCCAGGGTCGTCTCACGGCCAGTGAAATAGAATAACTGTTCTGCCATGAGCCGTGATTCGAACCTGGATTTGAAATCCGTCTCTGTCCAGGGCTGCTTTCCTGGCTTCCGGTCATCCAATTTCTCGATCTTTAAGAATATTCTTGAAATTATCTTTCCAAGTAATTCTTGGTCTTCCTCTAGGTCGTTTTCCCGGTGGTTATCCGCCATGATTTTCTTTGCTGAACGGCGATCATCTATCCTCATTAAATGACCGAACCAAATTTTAAATTGTCTCAATTTTTGTACAATTTTTAGTGTAGTCCGTATCGTTGTGTTACGTATCCGCTCTATCTTGGTCTTCCCCTCTATTTCCCTCAGATACCTCATTTCCATCCTTTGGAGGCGGCTGCGATCACGTTCCTGCATGGCCCAGGATTAGCTTCCATAAGTGAGGATAGGAAAGAACGTCGAGCGATGGACGGCTAATTTTGTTTCTTTTGCCACTTTTCTCTTACTTAAAAACTTCCTACTTTAATTTTTTTTAAACCATGTATTTGTGGTTATAGTGCCTCTGCTCAGCCTCTACTGGTCCTTAATGCCAGTAATGCGGCCGAGTCAGAGGCGCTGGAATCTCCTAGAGTTCTGCCTTTTCTTCCACGAGTTGGGGAAATGTTTTGCTGGGAGAATGTGAATGAATATTGTATAAAAGCATATGTGTATTTAATTAGTTTAGTTTAGTATCTTTTAGTTTATATACATTTACTTTTAGTATTATTGTTTAGAGTGCTACCAATGGGTAGTTTCTCAACATGTGTTCCATGTGCAATACCAATGTGCAAATTTACTAGATGTATTTTTTTGTATACAGTTGTAAATATCATTTAAAATAAATAAATAAATAAATAAGTATTATTGTAATGCTGTTTTTGTTATTTTTATTTATTGTTCATAGTAAAAATGAGCTAATCTTCATCATTATTACTGTTATTCTTAAATGTGACAGATTGTAATATATCTTAATAAAGAAATTTACTAAAAAAAAAAGTTTTCAATATGGAAAAAACTTTTGATATTTAAAATAAAAATATTAATAAATAAATAAATTAATATATAAAATGATTCAAAAACATATTGTATTAAAATTTTAAAATAATATAAATAAATTTAAATTTAGTATTCTGAAAAATATATATTTTAAATTACCATCGCAATCACAAATAAAATAATCGAAAGACTTCAAAAAATCCTTTTGTTCTACATTCCCCAAAGACATTAAGTTAGTTGAAGCCATTTTTAGGTACACAAATTGTCCTAAAATAAGATAAATATATCATTACAAAATATTCTCAATAACTATTTTTACTTTCACTTACGTATATATGTAATATATACGTAAGGATAAGTATTGCGATCGTGAAAATTTTTTTGTCAATATTGTATATGAGTTTTTAAAATTTTATTGAATTTTCTAAAAAAACGCGTTAAAATCGGACAATTAAGAGGAAAGATATAGTCTCTAGTTTTTTTCCCCTAAAGAGGCGAAAATTTGTATAAATTTAAAATATACTTTTTTAATTGTTGAGACTAAAAACACTTTTTTTCTACAGATATTTAATAAAATATCTTACCTCAGAACATCTTTCATAAGAAATAAGTACCTAAATTTATACATTTATTCTCAGTTCTAAATTTCAACACTACAATCACCACCTCCGGAATCAACTTACTCACTGTCTGCATAGATAACTTTTTCAACTAAAAATATCACTAAATTGACATTACTCAAAAATGTTGAAATAGGAGTTAGTCATTCTGTGGTTTATAAAAGCAAAGGCAGTTGTGTGGTTTTTAAAAGCAGATGGAGTGACTAGATTTTTATTGCCTACCGTCGAAATATTAAATAAACATTTTGTAATTATAATGGTCTTAATGACTTTATCTGTATGCTTTAAGCTTTGGCTCCGTTTAAAATTCACTTAAAATTTTATAATAGCCCAGCATTGCCAGAAAATAATTTCTAATCAAAGTAGAGCGGTAAGTGAAAGTTGTGTGTTGCTCGCACCAGATTTTGTATTTATTTATTGATTTCAATAATTAAATTATTTAAAAAATATTCATTATATCCTAATCAAGGAAATTCAAAAAATGCTAATCTAAACGATTACTACTATCATGACATATAATATTATTGTTACCAATTACAACAAAATTATTATATTTAATTTTTAAAAAACATAAAAGAATGTATAATAGATCTGATTCGATCATTTAGTCGCTACCCAAATGATCGAATCAATTTTATATATGAATACTGTCAAGATGACGACATTTTAACCATAGTGAATTTTTTTTTTCCATCTACCTTTTTTTCCTAGACAACACCACTCCTAAAGACTTTGTTAAAAATCCAAGGTGATCTCTAAAGTTTTCTTGCAGTGAAAACAAAGATCAAGTAACCAAATATAAAATATCTGGTGTGTTCACTAACATGACTTTCCTACCTATTTCAGAAAAGTTTTTGTATCTTTACATATGTTCATGAGAAAATAAAAACGAATTGAACTAGATTTATTTTCCTGAAAACTGATCAAACAAAAGATTTGAGAACAATTTATTTAATGAACTAAAGCAATGTAAATCCGTTTAAGGTAGATCAGTGTAAAAATTTCAATACCCTCTAATATTTCTGATCTAAAACTTTTTGCCATAGCTTAGTATTGTCAAACAATAATTTCTGTTAAAAGGAGAGGAAATACTTCTGTCTGAAGATTGTGTAATGCGGGCAACAGATTTTCTTACTTTCACTTAGTCATCTAAAAATGACTTCTTTAACCATATAAGAATAAATTCTCTCATTCGCCCCTTTCTGACACCAGGATATGAACCCGTAATCTTACATTGGAAATTGAGTAGCTGTAACTTCGTTAATAGTTGTCCAAAATGAATGATTTTTATGTGGCTTTTTAGGGAACTTCATTACCTTTCAAACGACAGGTTTAACGACGTGTTATTGCGCGCAAGCTATTGCGCCTGGAGCACCGAATTTCTGTCACAGGCATCAGTAATCAAAATCTTACAAAATAAAAAAAGAAACAACAAAATAGGTTCAATAGCTCCCGAGAAAATCTTGGCACAGACAGACAGACAGACCAGTGGCTAAAAATGTGTTTTTCGGACTCTGAAAGGAGGCTCTGAAACGTCTAGATCCGCCGAAAACCGCATATCGGAAATTTGACCCGATTGCAATACTTTCCTTACCTAGTATAGGTAGGAAAGTAATAAGTTAAAAAAATCTGTAAAAAATAGAATGAGCTGTATCATCGCTAATACTGGTTCGATTCTGATGATTTTTTTGATAATTTAATTACCTTTCAAAAGTTTCATTATAAATTTTACCGTATAATATATACTTAGGGAGTTAGGCCCCATAAAATTTTTCTTTTCTTTATGACTTTTTTTCCTGAATTTTTTTCGGATATTTAGTCTATATACGAAAATTGAAAAGGCACGAGTTAAAACATTATAGGAAAGTTTCATCAAAATCGTTAGAGCCGTTTTCGCGCTACAGTCTATAGAAAAACATGTTTTTCATTTATTGCGCGCAAGCTATTGCGCCTGGAGCACCGAATTTCTGTCACATGCATCAGTAGTCAAAACCCTACAAAATGAAAAAAGAATCAACAAAATCGGTTCAGTAGTTCTCGAGAAAATCTTGGCACAGACAGACAGACCAATGGTTAAAAATGTGTTTTTCGGACTCAGGAGGCTCTGAAATGTATAGATCTGTCGAAAACAGCGTATCGGAAATTTGACCCGATTGCAATACTTTCCTTACCTAGTATAGTAAAGTAGGTAGGAAGGTAATAAAAATTGTTAATTTCCATCAAATACTTCTGTCACATCTTTGTTAGTTTTTGAATTTTGAATGTCTGTTAGGTAAGTTCACACCACTTTCCTTACTTCCTTGAGTTAAAGTCCAATATGAAAACTGGATTTGTCCCCTGCTTGTTTAGATTAGATAGTTTTTCCTTTTGCTTTGTTTTTTGGTATACATTTTAATTATCTTTAGGATCTGGAATGTTAAAGTAGGCTTATATTTTTCAAATAATTAACAAAAACTGTAAAAACATAAATAGGTTTCGGTGAGATTCTGAGCAAAATACTAGTAAATCATTGGTACAAAACTTCTAATACAATATCACTTCTAATACTATTCTGATTTAAATATAGCTTTAACTAAATTTAATTGAAAGAACAGGTGATTGATGGAAGGTTACAAACGTAATTTTTGTCTCTCTCCAAATTCTACAGAGTTATACCATGTTTAAGTGAATTAACTGCTTGTTAATTTTATGTTTTTCTTCTCTACTTGTGAACTGAATAAGTATGCAATAAAAGGAAGTTAAACTACTAGTGAAGCGGAATCTCCACTGAAAATATCGGAACCATCGGCTTCAAATGGTTCGCCAATTGAAGTTGACAACAATATTGTAAATAAACTAGAGGCTACGTCATGGGAAGTTCTCTCTGAGCGAAAACGACATATAGCTTCTGACAGAGATCCACGTAACAAATACATTAAGGTTAGTGATACTATTACTATTAACAATAGATTTGAAGCTTTGTTAAATACCCAAGAAGATGTGCAGCCAACAAATAAGAATTCCATTATTACTAGACCCCCACCTAGTCACATTAACGACGTTAAAGACTACACATCTATAGTAAAATATCTTCACAATGACGGTGGCCCGAACAGTTTCAGGATGAAAACATCTATAAAAGGAGTCAGCGTGTATCCTGACAATGTAAACATATACCGTAGGTTAGTGGCTAGTCTTAGAAAAGGTGGAGCAGATTTTCACATCTATCAACTCCCGGAAGATAAAAGCCCTTCCTCCTCTAATACAGATAAAAGAGTTCCTCCCCTTCCTCACCGTTATGTTTAATCGTTTCTTTAAACGTCTTGGTAGATGCTTTGTTGCAGGAGGCGACTATAATTTTCCAAAGACCAGTTCTGGGGATCTTTCCTATCTACTCCAAGAGGAAGGAATCGTTCTTCATGAGATTTCATTAGACACAATATCACCTAAGCTACGAAAAAAAAGGCTCTGATCAATAGCATAATGGATTAGTGCATGTACAAGAATCAATTGAACACTGCTCTCTCTTTCTCTATTTTGTTCTTCTATCCATTAAAAACGAAGAAGATCTTGAGGCTTTGAATACTTTTGAATACTTTTGATGGCGTTGAATACTTCACACGCAATATGTGCATGGTCTTCATCAGTAGCAAAATCTCAAAAACATGAGTTGCTACCAATGATTCTCAATACTTAAGGGATTCGGTCAGAGAGAAGAGGAGAGCTCGCTAAATATGGCAAACTGACAGACTCCCATCAGATAAATCAACTTACAACTCAACGAACGAATAATTAACTTAAGCGAATGATTGGAAAATTCAAACGAATAACCTATAGCAGCTACATTAAAAATCTCTCAACCGACGATGGAAGCTTGTGGAGACGTACCAAAAACCCTTACTAAGCATCGTGAAGTGTCAGACCCCATCGAAAAGAAGACGATTCCTGGGCCCTCACCGACGGGGAAAAATCGGAACTCTTTGCCGAATGCCTTTCTTCTGTTTTTATACCATCCACAGACTTCAAAAATACTGAGCACGATAACAATGTACAAAACAATTTGAGCGTGCCCCTACCATTAACTTTACCTCCTATTTCCTTTACACTTTCTTGTATTACTGAACAAGTCAAAAAGTTGCCTAAAAGAAATGCTTCTGGACATGACTTGATTAAAGCCTAGGAAAGCTCTAGTCCTTTTAACAACTATTTATAATGCAATACTGAGGACAACTAAATTTCTCCTACAATAGAAATACCCACATATAACAATGATTCACAAGCCTAACAAGGACAAAACTCACACCGACCAATCAGCTTACTTCCTATCTGTTCCAAAATGTTCGAAAGCTTACTATTTTGTGCAGTAAGTCTTTTGTGGACTTGTTGATATACAAACAAACAACACGTGACCATCAATTCGGATTTAGGACACATCACTCAACTATACACTAACTACATAGAGTTGTGGACTACATATCTACGTATAGCACTAGAACAAAAATTAGATGTTGCTCAAGCGTTCAACAGAGATTGGCACCAGGGTCACCTACCTACTTTCTGGTTCTACTATCCTTCCTTTCCGACAGATTTTTCTCCGTCCGACACGGGTTAGAACTATCTTCCATCAGGTCTATCTCATCAG